TGTGTGTGGTTTTCTTAAAGTTTAACATGTGGAATTTTATAGAAAGAAGTGTAGTTTTGTGAACATCCAAATTATTGATAAAAATTTAAGGGCACAAGACTCATCATAGAAGAGAATTATTAACAAAAGTTGACCAATAAAATTACTAAAAATGCAGGCACTTTTTAGAGTAAACAAAACCTTTCCTAGTAACAAAAATGGACTGCTAAGGCTAGTCAACTTCTTTCTGGATGCTAACTCTCTTAAATGCATCATATCTTTTGGGATATGATAATTGCACTGCTTTAAAGTAAAATATTTCTGCATCAAAGTCAAAGTCTGTATATCTGTTTCAGATTTATTGTTCATCATTTGGAAATACATGGAAGAAGAACTACTTTGGGATGACTGTCTATTTAGTAGATCCATCAAATTTAAATTTGAATCTTCTGAGGCCTGACACTTTATACTAAACTTCCCTTTGCTTAGCTTTCAGAGGCACTTTCTTTTGCCAAAGGAAATGAATAGAATTTTTTGGCTTCATAATCTTTCTTTCCACAGGAATGTTAGCCAAAGTTAGCTTCTTAATCCAACCCATAATTCCATCAAACCTTAGTCTGGATAATAGGCTTGATAAAATAAGCAAACAAATGCATTTCCTATCTTTTTTCTTGTTGAAAGACTACTCCATTACTCCAACTCCTGTCATACTATGCTACATGGGCCTATTTTCATACACTGCACTTTTGTTTTGGAGATGCATCTCCTTTTTTGTTTTGATGTAGCTTATATGATTAATCACATAAGATTTCCAAAGATGCAACATGTCAAATGTGTTTCAAAATAGAACACAACATACCACCATAGCGTGATATATTCACTCCCTATATTGTAAGGTAAAGTTGTTTTGAAGTAGTGAAGTTACGATAAAGTCACGCTACAAATATATGATGGGCTAACAAGTTACGTTTATGTTATAGTTGTTTATAGTCACGTTTTGTATATATTAAAAGATAAAATCAACGATATGGAGTTTCATTCACGTCTACGCTCTACCGAAGCTATGTTCAAAATAAAAACCACTAACACAAAATTCAAGCGAGTCGCACAAAAAGAAAAAAACTCGCAGAAAAATGAAACTCGTCATACATTATTAGCCTCAGTCGCACAAAATACAACAAATCGCACATAAAGCAGAATGAGTCGCACAATTGAAAAAGAGGTCACACTTAAAGAAGAATGGGTCACACGCTGGAAAAGGGTAGGTTTTGAATTGAATTGAATACATTTCTGTTCAGCCTAGGCCATTATGTTTTGCCCAAACTGTGGAAATTTCAGAGACAAGACCCACTTTCTCATCATCGGAATAGAATAGAAATATGCGCGTATTTTTGGACTATTGGGACTGACAGTTAGATGTTATAGCGCAACATTAGCACTTAACAATTTAACTCCATTTTGTTCAATCCGATCACATTTGTTCAATCACAGAAACATGCAGACAGACTGGAAGTCCAAACTTAGCTAGTTACACGGACGGACGCCTACGAGATATCGGGTGGGCAAGGGCAAAAATTCAAGTGTACAAATGTACACTATGGCATGAGTGTATACTTCTAGTGTACACACAAATTTTAAGTTTTACATACAAATAAATTCTTGAGAAACTGATTCGGATTTAGAGGGAATGTGGTTGAGACATACGCATACACACAACAGTCCTGTTGTCAGAGCGTACTTCTCAAACCTTACCCGAACCCCAATTCCTACCAGCATGTGTGGAAAAATATAAGAGACCCCAACAGAAAGGTACGTTAGTGCATTCCTGTCTCGCAAGGGGATCAATTTGGCTGTGAATTGAATTGAATTGATGTTTTTCGCACAAATATGCAGACGTCATGATTGAGTGGATATTTAGGTGTCACACCCCCAATTACATCTTAATAGGAAATTTCAAGTAAAATCTTTTGAGGGGTGAAACGTTTTATACCATTCAGAAATCTTCATGTCTCAAAATCAATAAAGAATTGAGCCTTTTAAAATGGCTAAAAATGCATCTCCCAGACTAAAATTTAACAAATTACTACAACGCTCAGAACAGACAGTTCGACGATGCCTAGAAAAATATTTGTTTTTGATTTTTAGAAAAAATTTGGGAGAGGAGGATTCGTGCGTTGGATAAAGAAAGAAAGGGTGACCTTTGGTTCACATCGATGTTAATAACAAGAAGTTGCTGTATTGATTGCCTGGGTGCATTCCATGTACTTGGGTCCGAAGATCTTTGGCGTACACTCAGGCTTTTTGGCGTTCTGAGTACAAACTAATAGAAAATTTGTTTGGCATACATAAAATCTTCGTTGGTTTGCGTGCTAAACAAGAAGCCACGTACATAGTTAACACGAAAACATAAGACACAAATGTTGATTGGGTCATGGCAACGAAACGTGCTTCGATTGTAGAATCACACCTTTTATTAGATTGTTCACAGCAAGTTACAGCGAAGTGTTCTACCCGTACACGATCATGTTTGATGTTCCTAGCCAAATATTACAAGCAAACAATTTTGGCGCGCCCCTATTCAGGGGGACCATGGCCCCCTGGCCCCCCTACCACCACGCCACTGGTCCCAGTAGTATCTTAATAGGAAATTTCAGGTAAGATCCGCTCGGTGGAAGAAACGTGTTAGGTATTTCAGAGACTTTCATGTCATAAAATCAATAAAGGATCAAGCAAAGGCAGTTTCTCCGTTGGTTTAATATGATTTTCCTTGATATGAATGAAGGTACCCTGGGTACTAGACTCACTATTTATTTTATATATAGTGAGTCTGGTACCCAGGGTAGAATGAAGGTAAGCAAACTAATGATTTGAAGATTTGAAGATTGCTTCTTGGCAATAAATCTAAAAATCAAGACCCTTTTTAGGTAAAATCGTGCCTTGTGTCCATTTCTCCTAAAGTTTCTTAGTAGAAGCGTCAACTGCAATCCACTATGAGCTCCAGATTTTTCTTAACATTCAAAAGGCATGCTAAGATTAAGAGAGGGTCTAAATTTAGAAGTAACTGACAACCTGGTATTTTTGAAGACCACGGCGAAATTCTTGTTTTATCTGCTGTAAAAAGGTTTTGCAAAAAACAATAATTTTCAATAGGATAAGGAGGGTTGCTTTAGTGCATTTTCCAGGGAACTAGAAGCATAAAAATTCGAAATTTTCCTGCTCCTTCGGCGGCAACCGTGGTGCCGCCTCAGGTAGTAACTATATCCTTTGCCCGCTCGATATAGAGATTTGACAAGACTATTAGGAAAGTCCGTTATTATCATACAGAGTTAGATTGACAAAATGTATTGCAGAGGTTTGTGACAATAATTTCAGGCAATGATTTTTTAATCAGGTAAATTTGTAGTCCATACCCGTCCCCCCCCCCCCCCCCCAACGAGGCTTGCCTTGCGACGGCCCTGAACACAGAGTGTGGTGTAACTGAGTTGCATTAGTCACATGACTCGAAAGGAGGATACGTCTATTGACATACAGTGTAAAGCTCGCATTTGTTTTGCTTTCGAAAAAACTAAAATAACGGAAAAATTTAACTCTTGACGAGGATTTCGGCGTACTATATTCCTAACGCAACGAATCGAGCATCAGACCCATAGGTGAAAGAGACAAAGGGGGCCACAAAGGAACTGGGGTAGGGGTGCTGCAGCACCCCAATCAGGTAAAATTTGTCGAATTTCAGGCCCATTCGGACAATTACATCTCCGCAAGGCAACAATATTCGGCACAATATTCGCCCATGATCAAATCTAACATGTTTGAATACTTATTGTTTTCAGATAGAGAATGATTTTAAATATTTCCTTGTGAGCTTTCTTTATCAAAATTGAATTACGAAATTCTTTTCACTGCACAATTTTTACTTTTTAGACACTTAATAACTCCATGTAAACATTCAAAAAATTTATATACATTTTTTAAACAAATTTGGCAGGCAATGATATCCGCTGAGTATTTGTTGCCGGATAATTTCTGTGGCAAAAGTCAAAAGGTGACATGCAAATGTTCTTTTAAGGTGATTAGCAGATACTATGTTTCGTACAGTATATGGCATTTCAATCGAATTCTTAGCCACCGAAAGTAGAAACTTTTAGCGGCATACTCTAAACACAATCACAGGATAGTTTTCTGATATTTTCGATTAAGATTTTCGTTTTAGGTAAGTTTTCACCATCGAATAAGCCCCCCGTGACCTGAAAATTTTTGCCTTTTGATAAACCCCCACATGGGCTTAAAGAGAATGAGCGGATATAAAACTGGCTCACCTACACATCTATATCTATTAATAGGCAACCAATCATGAAAGAATTTCCTTTTGTACGAAATCATTCGACAAGGGACAAGTAACGAGGAACATGATTTGTATTTTCAAAGTTGTAATGTTCCAGCCATTACTAAGCTAGTAACGTGCTTGTAGCGATTGTTGAATTCTAGATAAAATAAATCTTTAAGTTGAGAGATTAGTAACTGGAAAGTACTGGTTTTAAGAATCCTTTTATCAAGAATTAACACTGCTATAGTTTTCAATGTTATGCTGATGGATCATAGATTGGAGAGAGATTAAGAGGACTAGAGTTTCCCAAGGTCATCATTAAAGCATTTATTGCAAGCATTAGAAGCTCTTTCTTTCCTTTTTTATTGCTGTTTTTAAGCTACCATTTTTCCTCTACGTAGGGATAAAAGCAAGGAAGGCATGCTTGAAAGGTTGAAACTTGCTTACAAGGGTTTGAGTAACTAAACTAGAGGTCTTCCAACTAGAAAAGTAGCTTGGGCACGCACCAATGCCCTGGTAACTAGACCAGAGGTCTGCCAACGCAACTAGAGGTCTAGTAGTGAGACCAAAACCTAGCAACTATAGCAGAGGTTTGGTTACTAGATAAACGCGCCAACGCACTAAAGGCCGATTTCCATGGTTTTTGTGCGCGCGGGCGTAGCGCCAAAATTTGAGCATGCGTAGCTAAGTGCTGCTGTCAAGTGGCCGAGCGCACAAAAAAGCTGAGACCCTATCAACTTTCTGGCGCTCACAGCGGACGCAAAATCGAGACCACTTGATTTTAATTACGCATGCTCAGACTTGGGCGCTATGCAGGCGCGCACAAAAAATGTCAAATGGAAATCGGCCTTAAGACCTTGTAACTAGAAAAGAGGTCTTTAAAAACACTATGTCCCGCTAGACAACCGTTCAGTGTTAACAATAGGCTTTAAAGCGCGTTTATTATCGAATTAGCCTTACGTTTCCGATTGGATACGTAACAATAGGCCTATTGTGTAGTCCAACCAATAGGGATTTAGATGGCCAGCGAAATGCGTCGGGACAAAGTGCTTTAAACTGAGCTAGAGGTCTGGTAACTGCACTAGAGATCTAGCAGCCTGGCTGTTAACTGTGAAAATACTGGCGTAGCCGCAATTTGTTTTGTGTACTGCTGTTGATAGCATTCAAATCCTCGAAAAATTCATATAACCTATTTTTTACATGGAAGTCAAGAAAACTGATAATTTTCGTGAAATATTCTGTTTTAATTTTGAAAGTTTAGACCTCAAGAAGGAAAGATCCGCTGAGGAAAGAAATTTCATACACTGTGCTTTCTTGGAAAGACAATCGTCAAAAAACCTTTCAAGGTGTCGATATTGTTAAGCTTAAATGTAACAAAACTGTTTTTTCGTATCAAATAACCCCTTAGCGTCCTACTAGCCTCTTTTGTCGTGGAACTCAGCTTCCTTGATAAATGAAAAAATGCCATGTGAGTGAATCATTGCATGTCCTATTGATGATGGTGATATACTTCTCATCTCAATGGTTAGTTGATCTTTAGGCCGTGATGTTGTGTCTTCGTTCGACTCATGATTTGTCAATGAGACTCGATTAACTCTCACAACTAAAAAAGTAAAGTATAGCACTTAGATCTGGTACATAATGATTAAAAAGATATAGATGAAATCATTGTGAACTATTTCTGTTTCTAGTAGTCAGCGATGTTAGTGAAAAATCAATCAAATTTTGATAGAAGCATGCCACTCGGTAGCACAGTTTGACAAGCTGAAAAAGATTAGATGCAGACCACTTCAAAAAAGCCCCCAAATGCTATTTTAAGGCTGGGGTACTAGATCCCAAGCCTCTTCAACTGCTATTGGTAGAATTGGGGTATAATTTACAGCATTTTAGTCACAGAGCTAGCAAGTAAATAAGGCAGGGGACGGCAATGTTATCTTGGCCTGGCAAGGGATATGCATGGGCCTAAAGGTTACTTAAACCCTAAGAAACTTTTTATAACCCCAACAATCTTCCTTTATCATTTTCTCGTGGCAAAGAGGGAGCTGAATGGGCACAAAACCTCATCTAGCAGGGACGAGGGATACAGACTAAATTTCGGAAGGGGACACCCCGGTCAGGAACGTATTCATCGGGGACGGTTTTCCCCTGGCTTTTTACATAGAGGTATTATTTTTATTATTATTATGATATCTCAACACGACGACGGAATTGTAGTATGCCCTAATACAATGTTAACTAGTGACATTGCATTGCTGTAGATAGAATATAATTATTGTGGAGGGGTCGGGCTGATATTTTTTGTGAACAATAGGAGCAAATTGATTGTTAAATGGAAACAAAGGATTTCTGCGATTAAGGGCGGTGGCTTGAACCCCCTCATATCATAGACCATGTAGGAATAGGCAGCTAGCAGAGGTTATACAAGATAACGAAAAATATATCATATTTACTTTTATGTAAAATTAATTGTAAATTAAAATGTTAGTAACAATAGCATTCACAAACCCATCATCACAGCGCCATTAGGGATTACATTCAGACGGCAATAATATATTCATGTGCGATTATTGTTGCATGAAATACAAATGTTTGCGAATTGCGGAGCTTTACACTAGAAATGAGGCTTGCCAAAGCATTTTGAAAGTTTCATGCACGGTGGTGTAGATGGCTCTGGGGTGTAGTTAGGGGGGAGTGTGTAGGGGTATAACATCCCTCCCAAATTGGTCATGAATTCGTTGGTAAAACTTCAGTTTGTCTACAAAACCCTTAGTTTGTCGGTAAAATCATTTACCAGTGGGTGAAGCAGTACCTGAATTCTTCTCAATTCATGTCTTTATTGGTAAATTTTTCTTATGATGACCCTCCGCCCCCAACCCATCGCCCCCCTATCCTGGAAGGTCAAGCGACGCCATTGAGTTGGCTTAAAACCAAAATTGTCTCATTTCAACGGCAAACAAGAAAAAATTGATCATTATAATTTTTATTGAAAAATTGAGAGAATCAAGGATAAATACCTGAGAAGCAGCGATAGACCCAAGTTTTAATCAGATCTCGACATTGCTTTCGAGAGATTGTATAGAGAAACGGGTCCATAACAAAACCAAGGATTAGTAAACGGGTAATTTGTATGTCAGCAACGTCTGATACAACTTTGCCATTCAATGATAACAAAATTCGCACCTGCAAGCAAATATTTGCCTTTAGCATTGATAGAAAAGTTTGAATAAGTTATATTGTTCTTTTATTTTGAAGCAGTTTTAAAGAAAAGAACAACTATTTAATTTCAAGATTGTAGTATATAAAAACACTTCCCACCAATATCTCGAAAATGATAGCTGTTCTTTTTCTAAAAGCTTTAGAGTAAAAATTAATATTCAATGGGTTGTAAGTTGGAAGAAAAATGTTCTATCTTCTCGAACAGTTATTGAATGCGATTGACGTTAACTTGATGACGTAATTGAATGAGATTGACAAAGAAAAAGTCAAGTATAATGAAACAAAAATTGAGCCATGTCTACTTGTTGTCAAGCTTTGGATTTTAGAAGAGTGAGAAATTTGATACATTTAAAGAAAGATGTAAAAATTTGTTAAATAAATATCTTGTTTTTCTATATATCACTGATTACGTACCGTAACTTTTTAAATTTTTTTTCAAGAAAAAATTTAACATCCAAAAAGAATACAGAAGAGAAAGTGTCTGAGGATAGGAATTTCAAATAAAGTGATTTGGTAACTAAAACGCTGTCTTTTGTTAAGATGACTCAATGGCCAGGCGTTTGAACATGGGAAGCAAAGAGAAAATTAGGCAAGCCATAACTAAATGTTTCTTTGCTGTCAATCCTCGCATTGTTTACAGCACTAGGAGAGCCTTTCCATTCATTCAAAAGGATTGCGTTCCTACCCGCCAAAAAAGTTCCGTCATTTATGAATTTACGTGCCAGTGTAATTCTGGCTACGTAGGACGCACAACCCAAAGATTGGGGGATAGGATAAAACAGCATGTTCCTTCCAACATAAGAGATAAAACGAATCGCGTTTTATAGGCCTTAAAGCATCAACAACAACAAACTATTCATAGACTTCTGTGTGACCATTTTGTGTCATTTTTATAACAACATCCTTCAAAGTTCTCATTGTCACCCTTGTAACAAACTTCAAAGTGTAGAAAGTTAACATTTTACGTACATCAATTTTGCATCAACCTATATGATGAATGTTTTATTTTCTGTTATTTTCTGTGCCCATTGAATAACGCATTACGAATAATGGCAGTTCTTTATATCTCTAACGTCAAAAAACATTTAAATTCTATCGCAGAAACGCCAGCAAGGGAGAATAGGAAAAATCTATTTCAAAGTTCCCTAGACAGCAATAGAAAAATTCATTGAACTTTAAATCGAGAAAAGGCAGAATTGAATTATTTAAAGCAGTTAATGAATGAATCAAACAAAAATTAAAAGAATCGTTTAGTAAAGTTCGGGAAGGTGATAAATAGAAGACCAAAATCGAAACTGACAGTCTACTGGTCTACTTCAGGTTAGGTAGAGCTGATAATCAATAAACGATCGCGCTGCTTGCTAAAGTTATGATAATTGATTTCTAAAAACAATCCGAGTGGATGCGAGAGGACAAAGAGAGACGACACTTTGCTGCTCTTTTTCCTCCTTCCGTATCAAGCGAAACGGCAACGTATAGGACACTGCAAGCTCAAAGACCATCGTATATTCTTCGACTTTTGCATGTACTGGCAAATTCTACGCCTGCATTTTCAAACTCATTAAATGTGCATCAAGTTATGTTGATATTTCACGCCGATACCATGCATATAGTGCATACACTCAACAAAGCCATATAGCACTTTCAATCGCCTAAGTTTAATTTTTAACACCTAGTATCTTGTCTCCAGTAGCTTGATGGTTGCATTAAGCGCGAAACACGGAGTAGCAACTTAGACCCGTCCAGTTCTATACACCACCAAGCGTAGTTTTTTTCAATCTCTTTCGCAATGGCAGAAAACCCTTTCCTTTTTATTGCCAGTTTGATTTTGTTACACTTGATTCCCAGTTTTTATTTTTGACTGGCGCCGAGCCCTACAATCTCCGTTGACAGAAGATCCTGCTATACACTGAACAGTGCTCAAATCCTCACTCCATTGTATTTCGTCCTGGTGAAACAACAATGTTCATCTTCTGTTTCTCTAATATTGCAATTTCGATCATATTTTGCTTTTGCTGCATGGAAAGATAGCTTATCAGAGTATTTTAAACTGGTACTGTCAGTATTTCAAGCCATGTTGCTTTTAAAAGAAATCCATGTTTTAGAAGCCATGTGAAGAGGGTGTTCAACGACGAAAGAATGAAAGAATAGTACCCTTGATTAAAATTCCTTCTAACACGGAATATATATTCAAATCTAGTAGCATCCTTGCTGCCAATCTTCGTTCCTTCATTTTCTTCATTAGATGCTGTATTGAAATTGCTGTTGCTACAAAAAATTCACGGTGGGACTAGCGAGACTATGAAATATATTTATACGGATAATTTTTATGGATAATGTGGCCAAGGAAACTGATCTGTCTCTTTTCGATCTGATCTAGAAGCTTCTTGTCTTGATGGATTCGAGGAAATAGCTCGTTGTTGATTACTCCATCTACGTACACAATCTTCGCAACTAGAATACGCCCGTACGTATGTTTTCATGCAAATGCCTAACATAAAATACACTTAGGGAGTCTGTTTGAACAGTTGCCCGATTGAGATTCGCTCGTGTCTAACGGGATGGAGCGCCTCTAACTCCCTGGATCTGAAACTTATGCCTGCATTGACTTAAATGATCAATATAAATAATGCTATACATTGCTATAAATGAATTTACTGAAACGTCAGAGAATATAAGAATAACTTACATTCTGAATTTATTTAGTCCAAGAATAAAGAAAAAGAGTAGAGTATTCAAGCGTGAAGGCGATTTCAAGTTGTTCTTGCACGTGAAGTTGTGTCAGTATAAATGGTCTGTACTGAAATTTTAAGTTCACACACCGATAGCTATTTTGCAGATAAGAATCTCTTCCCATCCCTCCCCTAAGGACATTACAGTAGCTGTACTTTAATGGCAATTTTTCATGCTACCTGATGCCAAGCTTATGATTCAGCTAGAATTGATAGCATTAGCAATTGTGTGTTAAGTTTGACGATAATTTTCATACTTCTTGTATCATAACTGTTTTATCTTAATTGATTTATTTACCTGTTTGTCGTGCACACGTTTATTCGCAAACTGCTAAACTGACTAGTACTATTGTTATGAAAGACTCTTACAAGATAATCTAATTAGCTACTGAGTAAATGTTGTTTTTTTCGGTTTAATGAAATGAATTAGAAAATAAACATTGTTAATGTCAACAAAGTTTTGATTTATTTTCCATGTCAGTAATCTCACAGAATCTATTCTTTAAAATTCTGTGGAATATGCATTGAGTTGGGCAGTTTCAATACAACGATGTTGCTTCATTTAAAGGTCAACCGGAGATATTAAAAAAGGGAACGGTCTTTGAGTAGCTTGATTAGGTTTTAGGATCAGCCAATATAGAGATGGGTGGACTAAAGATGACTTAATTTAAACAACATTTGTTTGGAGTTTTAAAATTTTTTTCTCATTCCCTGTAATTTTTTGCTTACGCCTTGTTTTAAATATAGGCATCGCATCGTTTTCGTCGTAAAAATAAAACTTCCATTTTAAAGAGAAAAAAACTTTTCCTAGCTGTTTAAATATATCCTTTTGAGACAATGAAAGGGAATAAGAATGGAAGTAGCAATATCGATTGACTGTTCATAATGAAATATTTGTTATGAGAGTGTTATGTCATTTAAAAATGTTAGACCAGGCGGAGAAGGGGGGTATCGTCCCCTGAAGGCGAAACTTATGACATTGAGAAGATTTAGGCAATCTTGGGGCGCTGATTACGAAAATGGATGTTATACGGGCAAATTCGGGGGCTTTCAGCCTCATTTCGATGCTGAAGATGTCTTCGACAAAGAAGATACTTCTGCATTTACATAGTGTTAAAACATACTAATTGCTATTTGAACAAAATAAACGTGTCTAGGGATGTTGAAAAATCGTGTCTAGAGATGCAAAACCATATCTTTATAGCTTTTTCAAAAGTAATTGTCTTTTCCTAACATCGATTTCTTTCCATAAAGAGACTTCTAGAATTGAATTTTTAGCGTTATCTACACATCATGAGCGCATTTTCAGAAAAGACGGAAATTAGCCCGGGTTTTTAAGAAAAGAAAGCTGGAGAAGGACGAAGTACAATTCCCAGCGCTCAGGAAGGCACAACCAACCAGCGACAAGAAAACCTGGCTCAGCACAATGTGAATATCAAATATTTATATATGATTTCTATAAAGAAGTTACTAAAAGTAAATCATAAGAAGAGTAACAATTGATTAAGATTGTGACAGAGACGGCTGAGAAAACATGCCGCTGCGAAAAAGGTCTATGTTAAGAATACTCACAACATGAGGCGTCCAGCAGATGACGTTGGCGATTGACACAATCGTTACTGACTTTGTAAGATTCATCTGGACTTTTGCATCCCTGGTTCTCCCATTTCCTTTAGAAGATACTTTGTCCCCGATCTCTTCACCGTCTCTTCTTAGTCGAAAATTGTTGTGGCCTTTAAGTAAAGTTCTTCTTCTGCCGACCTTTATAAGACTTTTTGCAATCAGAATGTTACATATCGCAATGGTCGACGATGATGATAAACTGAAGATCGCGATGAATATACTGAAGGCCATGTTTCCCGCCCTTCTGCTAGCCCAATTAAAACTGCAATAGGTACCAGTTGAATTCTTTGTCACGTAGTCTTTAGTAGCAAGCGAAGTCAAAGATACTAGAGTTGAAAAAGCCAATATGATGGCACTAGCTATTCCTGTCTTTTTTGCAGATATATTGTTTTTGTAGAAATATGGCTTCGTTACTGCAAACAGCCGCTCTAACGTCATAGCAGCTGTGAGACCCGGAGATGCTATGTTTACGAACATAAACGATATAGCCTGAAAACTGCACGCGCTGTCTCCACCAACCCAATACCCACTAGCGTAGCAAAGTGTTGTTGGTGCAGCAGCAATGGAAATTGCAAACAATTCGGTAACTGTCAAGGCAATAGTGAGAAGATTGCTTGTTTTCCTTTGCCTGATGACGAGTGTCAGAGATGCAACCAAAGCTAAGGCATTTGCAGCAGTACCAATTAGTATCAGCAACAATAATATGATGACCTGGCTACGTCTTGGGCTTTCGAAGGTTTCTTTAACACTTACTTTTGTCGTAGTAGATTGTGTAGAATTCAACATCATCTGAAACTCTGAACGATTCGATAAATCCCAATACGCCATCTTTCCAGTCAAGCCAGTGCCTACAAGCAGAATAGAACTTCGGGAAGAGTAGCCGAATTTCGCACCAAACTGAGATGTTCTACTTTAAAAAGGTGCTAAAAAACTCTTTCATTTTTAATTTGTTAACGTTCCACAGACATCGATATAGAAGCGAGGTATTTGCATAGTGAACATTTAAGATGTCTTTTGGGATTTTTCATGGTATGTTCTTACTGCGCGGAATCCTGCCTCGCCTTTGGTGATAGGCGTTCATGTTTAAATATTTATGTCAACTTGAGCTAATTTCAGCTGTTGAGGAAAATTTCTCGTTCAAATTTTGATTTTATCGTAATTTCATACTGCGTAGGAAATGCGATACAAATCCAAACAGTATGAATGGACAAAACCACTATGATATGCAAAATCAAAGAACGATTTTTAGAAAGCACAACAGAGAACATGTATTTGTTAAATAAATAATTTCGATTATTATTCTGACGGTTTGTAGCCTAATGTATGCAAGTGAAAAGCTCAAAGGTAAATGCTTGCTTTTTTCAAGGCATTTTAAATTATGCACATCCAAAGATCAGTTGGTAAAAATCAAAAGACTTATCATGTCAAAAAATGAACATGATAAAAATCTTAATCAGAGGGCAGGTTGAAAAATAAAATGAGAAGAAAGCAATATCTTAGTTTTAAGCTACTAGTGCCTTTAAAATCCTTGATGTTTTCTTCTAGCACAGCATATTTATCTGATAAGATAGCTTCCCTTTTCAAATTTTTGAAAAAACCTAAAATGGGACTCTCACGTTAGAATCCCATAACTTATATCTTTGATTTTCGTTTATGTAAACCTTTAAGTTTGCTAAATTGAATAATTTGCCTTCCATATAAAGTAATGTTCATTGAATTTGCTGTTTACCGGTCTGTTATAAAGTGCTCGATATCATATAGGCAGAACTGTACACGTAATGATTGCCTGATGGTCGCATTAAGCGTGAAATTCGGAGAACCGTCCTGTTCGATACACCGAATAACGTAAAGTACGGTTAAAATGATGTTTTCTGTATAAAGCCGTACATCAGTTATGTGTTAACAAAATGTAAGAGTGGCTTTAAAGAAAGAAAAAGTTTTGAAACACATGAAAGCTTTGGTCTGACAGTATTCAAAGTCTGTGACGTCAGAACATAGATAAAAAAACTATGAGCTAGGAAACATCTATAACAAAATGTGGATCGAAATAGGCCAATCAGAAATGTACACATGACAGTAAAGGCTACCCAATCAGCGCTACTTGCCTGTTGAATATATTAACAAAAAAATAGTGTATACCTTTGCTGAATGTACAAAAACAATTTTGAAAACCCTTAAACGATATATCGATCATATTTAAAAGGTATGGTTTCACAAGATGTGATTCCTCCTATTCTTTTGTATTTTTACAATGTTGTTTCTTTGCCTTTGAAGCTTTCTCAAAGAAACTTGGTAAATGTCTTTCATATTAGCCTATAATCTAAATTTCTTCACTTTTTCGATAAATCACGAAGATCAAAATACTACCAAATATTTCACAATACTTCTTGGAATCATGCGAGTCAGTGATTGCAAAATTAAATATCTAGCCAAAACATTGTTGCTAAAAACAACTTTTTAAGCAACAGATCTTGGTTTTGTGCCAGGCCTATTTACATTCATTAGTTCCTGTTTTCTCTTTAAGTGCGTAATCATAAGTTCATAACAATCTACAATCACTGCCTAAAGTCTTTAAACACTAACGTCAGTTTCAAAGGCAAATTCAGCCACCCCGTCTCCCCCTCAGCCACCCCTCCCCCTAGGAACAATGTTGATTTACTATAGAAAAAAGAAAGGGGTTATGGAGTACGCTTTTTCTTGTGGATTGTTTGATATTTTTCTATACTTTCAACATTGTTTTGGGGAGAAAGGGGGACGGAAGTAGTTGTAAACGGGAAAACAAATGAGAAATAAAAAAGCACAGCGCAAAGTGTTGGGTGTTCCAAGTAATTTTGGCAGTGATTGTATGTCACTTCAATAACATGTTTATCTTTCCGCAACAACGCACTAACCTCTTTTGTTCAGGTATGAATTTTAAAAAAGTATTCAAACTCGTTTTTTGAAAATGTAACTCGTGAAATTCAAGAATTGAATAAAATTAATAGAAGGGCTTACAGTTTGTCAATAATTAACCTTTAATCTTTAGAGTTTTTTGGCAAACAGACAAACGAGACTTTCACGCAGAATTTTTTAGAAAGAATCATCGAATTTGTGTTGCGCTAGTATGTTTCATTTCATTAAAAAATTTCACGACAAATAACAACTGGCAAAGATTAGAATTTTTTTGAAGAATGATTTAAGAATAATTCTACGCTAAAAATTTCAATTTTTGTAATATTAAGGCTCAACAAATATTTAGGTATTCTTTTAAAAATGTGTGTAATCATGTCTTCCCGGCGACAGTCGTGGTGACTTTCAAAAATTCATTATCGTGCAAAAGCATATAAAAATAAGTTTTTGCATCAGCCAAGAATAGAAACGCATCATTCAACATCGTGAGAAGTTTTATCCGGCATTCGCTGTTACGCTCTCTGTGGCTGTGTTTTCTGCACGTAAAGTAAGATGAAATGCAAGCTGGAAAGACTAATTAGCTGTTTCATGGGTTCATTAGTCAACGAATGGCATAGCATCAAAAAGCAAGGCAGAATTTCGTTTCACTTAACATGCACCTGGAGAAGCATCTTTTAATTTTATATTTAATGATGTATAAGCAATGGATATTGCATAAAAACACAATTGAAAGCAAAAACCTTTTCTGATCGAAATTGTCCATTCAACGACATCGGGCAGCTGTTCATGTAACCCAATAATGGTAGTATTGTTAAAGGCCCTATAGAAACTGATGTTCAAAAAGAAGTTATAACGCTGGTTTTTTATATTTAAGTACCTACAAATATGTGGTGGTGCGAAAAACTTAGATTTTGGCAGTCGCTTAGCACCAAAAGTTCTGCTTCTTTTGTTTTCATGATTTTGATTCGGTTTCTTTAAATTGAAGCTTAATCGCACCATTGCAACACCTGCTACAAGCGTGATTTTTGTGAAAGCAGCAAATTAGATATGTGCAGACATGCAACTGAATACTGCCAAGCCCCGAATAATTAGGCCCTTCTTCAAACAAGCGCTCTCTGAAACTGGCAAAAATCTAAGCAGCGCCCCTTGAATGAATATTAAAATCAAAAAAATTCAGACAAATATTTTTTTACAAATCTGGTTTTACAAAGAGGTTTAAGATTCCTAGAAAAAGAGTGCAAAAAATGCAAGTTTTTGCAGAAAATAAAGATAAACGACCGCACAGGAATTTTTCCTAAAACTTGACAGTCCCTAGCATTGAAAGTTTTTTGGAAATTTTGTTGGTTCCTTGTACAGCAACTGCTTGGAATCTCGTTGCTTCAGATGCTTAGATATTCTAAGACTATGTTGTGGAACGTTTTTTAGGATCGTGACACAGTTTTAGCGATGCGAATAAATGCTGGACTTGCTACATGCCTTAATTGTTGCAAAAATATCTAAAATCTGCTTTAAACTTTGCGATTCTCTGAGTTTCCCTAATCTTTCCTTAACTGTTCTTGTGGATATCATGGTTGAGCTCTGTTACACCAGTTAATTTTTCCCATAATTAACTGACATGAAATTAAAGTTAGTTTAAAGATATATGTTGCTATCGTCTAAAATATGGTTGTCTGAAATTTGGCCAAAATTCTCGAAGATCGTTCGAGTAACGAAAGACATTTGGTCTGAAGTTATTTTCCGAAACTTTGTCAACCGAGCATTTTCAGTTTCAGGGTTACTTTTCAGACATATTATGCCTGTTTTTTTAATATTCGATTCTTCTCGAATAATCCGCTTTCTTGCATCGAATTACGCATAGGTCGCTTTGGCTTAATACAATACAGAACTTCGATTCAACGAAACATTATGACGATTTTGTAGAATTACTTTCTTATGTAGAATTGTGCAAAATATGTGCGAATCATTTCAAGAAAAGATCTATTTCTAGGGTTGCAACTACCATTCTTCTTAGAAGGGGGGACTCGTGTTCCCCCAAAATTAGGGGCCTTGAATCGAAAGGGGGTTGGCAAATTACAATGGAATGGATACCGGTGCGTTTGTACGAAGTCTAGATTTCATGATAAGTGGGACTGAATTTGCCCAATAGAACTCCATGAAGAACGTTTGTTAGAATTAGTCTCTCAAATTTGCATGAACCCCGTTCCAGTAAAAAAGGGCACCTTGGACTCTGTTGGAACAAACATAGTCCGAAAGAGAAAGCAGATCTGTTCAGATTAATGGAACACAAACAACAAACAACAGAGTTGCTGAATAATTTGATGACGAGCATATAACATACCCTTGCAACCCATACAACTTACAATCTGCCGTTGAATATCACAAATAAAGACATACTCTTCCTAGACAAATTAGAAAGGGTTCGGGCAAATATAGTTTATGCAATAGCTTTTAGTGGGTGATATTTGGGAGACATCCGGAAGCCTATAGCAAAGCCTTCACAAGGGAATAGATGAATTTGGAAGAAAGGGAGGAGCCATCAATTTTGCTGGTGTTTGCTTTGAATGAAGGCAGGTTAGAAGAGTCTGCGAAGAAGGAAGAAAGTTGAACGCTTCAAAGTTTACAAAATCTGGGAAGGAGGGATCAGTTGTGGCAGAATTTTCGTGAAATTGGCAAGGAGACTTGGAAAGGATGTGCATTGGATGAGTATCAGGCATACAAAGTAGCATCCTTGTCAAAATAGGTAACCAATGCCACGTCGACATAACAAAATTCGCGAATTTTATCAATCATACTACTGTCTTGCTCTCTAACCAAGCATAGCGTCTATAAGAATAAAGCTTCTATAAATTTAGGCACCAAAAGGAAGATTTTGAACGTTGAAATCAAACAATATGCTTTAAGGAGTGAGGTAACCATTTACTTGCTAGTTGAAATAGAAAATTAATGAGTCCTAATTCTATAACAAAATTTTGATTTCAAATCTTGAGGCAAACTGGAAAGACTTGAGTCCATGACTATACACATAAATGTATAAAACAATCTGCTTAGAAAACAAAGCAGAACAAATTTTGTAGATAACTTGCTTCTTTCTTTACACAACTGATTAAAATTATCCACATTTTTATACATTAGAAAATAAAATATCCTTCAACTACTTAAAACCATAAACAAACCATAGTGGTCCAGGGTCTCAAATAACAACTTATATATTTTGGTAGAAACAGATCTTTTCAGTAAATATACCTTAATATCAAACAATATATACACATCAGACTGTAACTCAAATGTAATACTGGTAGAGAAATGAGTAATATTAAATTGTGTATTAAGCAATAAACTGATATGTGAAATGTGTATTAAGCATGTAGATTGATATTCTCCAATTAGACAATGTCATTATTTTATATAATTATTCAATATTACTGATAATTGAAATTTACACACTGTTCAGAAGTCAAATTAATGTATTTTCCTTTTAGTGCTAAATATCAGTACCTGGTGTAGTTCTTATTACCCTGGGCTCCCAAAGCGTCTGTGTCAAGGAAATAGGGCCTCAAGGAAATACCTCTATTTCCTTGACGCCCTATTTCCTCGACACTGATGCTCTGGAACCCAGGGTAAGTTCTTAAACACTTAACACTTTTACATAGTTAATGAAACAAAATATTACAAAGAAATATATACAAAAATCAAGGTCAGAGTTGGTAGTCAGGATTGTAACTTGTAACATTGACAACAGTATTACTTGGTTTTTTCTTATCATTGCATGCTTTTATTTCACTTTATTACTTAGTGAAAGTAAATTTTTGTTGTTTATATTATAAGCAAAATTCATATTGCTAATATTACAAGAGAAAATATATAAAAAAACTCGCTATGGAATCGTTTGAAATATAAACATACTTCAGCAACTGATTTTATTATAGGCGATCTGATATCACAAACTAGCTGGAAAGGTACTAATAGTGTAATAGTGATTTAGCATGAAAATTAACAAACGTCTGATTATTTACATATTTATATAAAATAATGCTTTAGATAGATATTCATTGAATATACTAGTACATACTAAACAAATGAAATAATTGTCTCAATTGTCTGGGATCAATTAATAAATAAAAGTATATATATACTTTATTTCATTTTAGAAACACCTGTTTTAGTTTTCAAGAAATAAAAAGCAAAATACTGAAAATTATGGCTTAAACTAAAATGGAATCCAATTTTTGCCACTAACTTTGTGAGTCCCCTCTGCTTATTAAACAAAAATTTCATTTTACAGTTATTTTGTTGCTTTGTGTAAAAAATATCAACAAAACTGGTATTTAGACAAAAACTTTGATGTCTTTGAGCTTTGAGATTAGCACTAGGGTTACAAGTTATAATTTTCTATCTACTAAAGGTTTTAAGGAAGGTAGCATATATTATAATTTTCATAATGTTTTATGATTACAGGGGAAAAATCATTAAACTTTTTATTGAACAGAAGGAAAGTTAAGAAGTGTCAACAAAATAACATTTTGCACTATGAATATCTCATATGATGAAACTGCTGTGGTAATTATTCTTCTGTGCAAAAAATTGATTTCCAAATAAATATGGGACTTTATAAATGAATTTAATTTAATGGTGCAGTATAAATCTAAGAACAAGGGTATGACATGCTTTCATTAGGTTTGGGCTAGTATTTTAATTATTCATGAAGTAGAGAATTGTTAGGTTTTTTTAGGAGAATCCTAAGTTGCAAACAGATCATTTTTCCAAGGTGTGGGGTGCTCCCATTCCTTCCTATTAAAATTTCCCTCAAGATACTGAAGCCTGACAATAATACTTTTCAATTTTCTAAAAAAGGATAGAATATCTTGAAATCTGCAAACACCATGTTTGTTGGATAAACTTCAAAAGCTAATGGCCTTGTCTCACTTTTTATTCACAATCAAAAGTATGCAGATCCAAATTAATTTCCTTCTCTTGGGACCTAGCCTAATTTTGAAGAATCCCCACCACTTGATGCTGTATATAAGTCAAGATGTGGAAGTTTGACTTGAGTTTGTAACGAGCCTTTGCTATGCAGTTCAGAGAGGAGAGCAGTATCTTTTTTGCCACTGCTTACTTTCTTGCCATGCTGGGTATTTTGATGATGTCGTAAACCACTTTGGCTTTTATAGCTCTTTCCGCAATGGCACTCGTAACCTTTTCTTTGCTCTTCCGGTGTGCTGTTTGGAACAGCTACTCTCGATCTTGCTATTTGCTTAGGAGTCTTTTGCTTGATATCAACTTTACGGTTGTGTCCATTTCTAGCATGATACTTAATGCCATTAACATTTTTATATCGCTTACCACAGCCTTTCACGGGGCAAACATACCTTCGCTTGCCTTCTCTATTTTCTTCGATGAGGGCAATACGGCTTAACATTAAGTCACTTTCTTGTGATGTATTTGTCGACCATGAATTGCAAGAATCCTCACTCTCCGCATCGCTGATACTACAAATTTCATCATCGTAGTAATTATCCGGTTCATTAACGATTTGTTTTCGCGCCACCTGAAGCGCAGGACTTCCTTTACCAGGGGTCACGCTCAAATGGCTTTGATTCCCGCCATCTTGTTTTGGGTTCTTCTTCACTGGCCTCGTCGATTCAGCGAAGAAACAATTTATATAGCTAAGCGCTATGGCAGCCGGTTGGGTTAGTTCCTGCTTTTCTAGAGCGATTGGGTCTCTCTCTATGTGTATCACTTCGATATGGTCAATCAGTTCAACCAAAGAGCTGCATTTCTTCCCGCAATTCGACCACAGACAAATGTGCTTGTAGAAGGCCGCCATTACTGAACAACACTGTATTGCCACAGGGGACATGTGATGGCAAACTGTTGATAACACAGGTCATACAGGACACAAGGGTCATCAATAAAACATGGTTAATTCAAAATTAAATGGCTAATTAGAATTAAATGTTTACCATTCATGGGCAGAGATTTCTTCCCCAAATTCTCCTTGCCTTTGAATGGAAGCTACATCCCGATGAATTGGACCAGTAGCGTAGCTTGACCTTCAAAACTAGACGGATGTAGGGTCGTTAAAAGTAAAATTTACCGTAAAAGCTAAAAAAAAAATTACCATGGATGATTTTGCTGAAAAATTAGATGTCTGATCTTATTACTGAAATTTTATCAACAAATACAGGAAAAATTAGGAGTCTTATCTGAAAAATGACGTCGAAAACTTTGTCAGCTTGAAGATTTCATGATTATTATTTCAACCACAGCGATACAAACATATACGGTTAAGATATCAATCAAACGAAGTTTAACATTAAAGAATACATTTAAATAAATAAGACGAGCATTTAAGCTACTCCAGAGCTTCAGAAAATTAGAATATCTATACTTGAGAAAATGGAGCAAGAGAACTCACACATTCAAATTTGAATCAAATGTTGGCAAAAAAGGTTAATACATCTATTAACGATACTATAGACTTAACAAAAGATAACAAAACAATCTAAAATGTAAGGAGTTGCTATCGAGTGAATAATAGTTGTATCTATAATGATGGATTTATTACTCGCATTCCTAGCTGCTTTATATTTGATTTCCTTCATTCTTATCTGTCCATGCATTCCAATTGATATGTATCAAAGTAATATTTAAATAAAGGCACTGAAATTCTCTATAATTTTTAGCATGGGCAAACTGCATTGATTCAATTATGCGATGCCTGAAACTGACACACGTGCGCTTCAGATGACCTGCAGGTAGGCCGTGCTCCTCCGCCATTACACTGGGTACTAAGAACAGTACTGAACGCTGTCCCAGCATACAGTTAGAGCCGAATAGAAACTTAGAACCGCCCTGCTTATACACCAGATAGTGTGCTCAGCTCTGCCTGTACAGTATCAAGCACTTTGTGACAGACCGGTAAACAGTATCGTTCATATCATGTAAATGCATATTGTAAGAGATCTTTGACTAAACACAAAGGATTTTGGCTGAAAGCGGGCCAGCTTTCTTTCTTTATAATTCTGACAGGGAAACCAGCTCTATCATCAAAAAGGGACAAGAAAGATAAATGATGTACAGCGAACCAGGTTGGGTATGTGCCAGTAAAACAACATGAAACTAGTTGTAAATGTTGGCATTAATAAAATGAATTATCACAATTTGTGCACATTGGTTGAGGTCGGTTGGTAAGGTAAGGTTAAAACATGCCTAGCATGGGTAGATTGGTAAAGTAATGTTAAGCCATGTCTAGTATAGAGATTTAGTTAAAAAATTGCTGTGTTCAGAAAACATTTCGCTTTTGAGGCTGCGAGCCGAGAAAAGGTCATCCAGCGATGCAATAGTTCTTGTAGGAAAGGCCAATGCACAACTAAACAAAAGTACAAGAGTGATCGGAATTTACCGTTGTGCTTGAGTTTTTCATTTTCCTGAATAAGGGTTAAGACCAAAGCATAAATTATTTCACTTTGAATTACTATTCTAAAAAACTTTTATTCCAAAAATTCAAGGTATATATTGAGGAAGAATAATAAGGCAAATTTTAATGCGGAGGAAGGCGGAGACGCTTTCTTAGCTCTGAGAAGTTTCTTTATTTTAACAATCTAGTACAGAACATGAATATGTTTGGTTCAATATTATTGCTGATAGTAATACCAGAGGAGGAAGCGACACAAATTTGTTTTTGCGAAAATTAAACTGATTAACAAATTCGTATTTTTATTCATCAAGTCTGACAAGGAGATTGGTCTGTAATTTGATAACACAAGACAACTCCTTTTATTTAATGGGCATGCTTGACCTCGCTCAATTTAGATTATCAGAGAAAAATCACATTGGCATGAAGCGATGTTTTAAGATGTTAATTATACAGTTTAAAGAGTTTGACAGGGACATAATTAGCTTTAAATCCAGCCTCAAAGCTTTCAAACTAGAGTTTGAACTGTCATATGTTCTTGAGAGACTATCAAAAACTGTTGAGCATTGTTGAACAACTGGCAACATTGATAATTTTCACTGGTCCTAGAAATATTTTTTTAGAGCTTTCTCAGATATTTTCATGTGAAGCTAGTTTATCACTAAAAGTTGGACATATACGAGTAAAAATTTTGGGAGGATTATTCACAAGGACTTTTAGGGGCGACCATACATAATTGGAATACAGTGTTTTTATTTATTATATAAACAAGGAAATGATGTTCTGAATATGTGTAGAAAGAACGGCAGCAGACTTGGTAATGTTATAAGCAATCGATTTTTCTTTTGCTTTGTGTTTCATTTGTCTACATATCTGATTTAAAGGTGTCTTCTTTAATAATGTTTGAAGCATTTACTTTGAACATGTTAGTTGCAGCGTTTAGACATAGCTGAGCGGCATCAACATGAAACATGAGAAAAACTACGGATAAACTTTGTCACTTGCGCACTTTCTTGCCATTAAATTTGTAAACCCTTGCTTCAGCTTCATATAGCAATCGCCAACCTGATAATTTCTTCATGTTTAGATTGGCGCGCCCTTAGGGCTTCAAATGTGGACTATTTTTAGTAGTTTTCAAATTGCTGGCCAAATGTAATTCCTGTATTTTCTAAGGAAGTTCTTTTACACTGAAACTGGAACTGAAAGTCAGTAAAAACTGAAAATGCACTGAAATTCATCCTTTTTTCCTGGAATCAACTCAATTACCGAAACAAACTTTTCCTGGTATCAACACACGGGTTAAGATAAAACATATGGAGTTAGAAGCATAACGTTAGATCATTAATATTTCGCCGCACTAAATCATTTACCAAAAAAGTGTAGAGAAGTTTTTGCCGATAATATAAACATTAATTCAGGCACAATACATCTCTGTGTATCAACAAAAGAAAATATTTTGGAATGGACCTACTTCAGTCATTTGGTGAAATAGTTCCGAATGGACTTAGTCCCTAAGCTGCCACTTTTTCTCTGCTTCTTTTTCGGTGGCCCTGCACTACTTCTGACATCCACAACATCATGCTCCTTCTTTCTCCAACTTTCCAGCAGTTCGTCCCTGATTTCCTTTGGCAGCTGCCGAAAAACATCTGGATCAATTCCATCGGGACATTTAAATTCACAAGAACCTTGTATGGATCCATTGTCCTTAACTTCTTGAAGAAATCCAGAAACCTCGGATTCAAGATCTTTGTTGTCACTAATCTCAGTCTGATCCAAGCAAGTAAGAGGTTTGATGCATTCTGGCTGAGCTACCTCCTCTCCGCCAGACAAAATCCCGGAGACACCGGGGATTGTTTCTACTACAATTCTAGCATCGCCTTTTGACGGCAAATCATTGTTATTCCGCTGTTTGTTCGGTACCCGAGAATCTTTGCTCAAACTTGAAATAAATTTTGAGGGTGCTTTCATACTTGGTTTTTCACACAGGTCAAAACATCGTTCAGTCTGTTCGGGTTTCTTAGGTATTTCTGCTTCGGAGAACTTAAAACCTAAATTTTTGTTTATTGAATACTTGTCCGCAGTTGATTCCATAAAGTCATACATTTTGTTAGATTTGGGCTGACTGGTGTTTTTCTTGCCAAAAAAATTAGAGATTGAAGAACTGTTTGCAGCCACTTCGTCAAAATTCGTAAAACAAATATTTATAACGGCAAGATCAAAGCCTTGCGCTCTGTCAATCATTTTGTCAAACAATCGTGTCAGAATTTCAAGTATAGTATCTACTCTTATTGTATCTTTCTCTGCTTTCAAAAGCTTTGGATCGAAATGTTCCTGTCGACATATCTTGGCAAAATTTTGCGAAAAACGTTTGCGGAGTGTCAGCTTGATGGTCCTGGGTGATCGACCATCTTTGACCAACCTCGTTACAAGTTTTTCAATCAACAGCGTCATCTCTTTCTGCACTTCTGCAAAATCTGTCAACTTTCTGTATGATTCTTCTTCACTTATAGACTTTGGAACATCTTCTGAAGCATTAACTTCAGTTTTATCAATACCCAAGCCGATGTCTGCCAAAAACTCCCCTTGCTTTAATCCAAACTTGTTTTTCAACTCATCTCTTGATAACCTAGCCAAGTCGCTAACTGTTTCCACACCCATGTTCTGTAAGACTTTAGAACAGCGAGATCCAATGCCTAGAATAAAAATATGATACATTTCTGAAATTAAAATACGTACAAGAAACCCTCTCCACAAACTACAATGTTGTTTAATAACAACATTGTAACAAGGATGGGGCGCATAAAAACTTCTATTGAAGGAATCAACAGTTTACGAGGGAGGGGGCAGAATTTAGTGGCAGGTTGGCAACATGGGGAGATAGCTGAATGCTGGGGTAAGTTAACTTTTGAATGCAAATATTGTGGTGTGTCAGCTACTTTTGGAAGGGCAGTTGCTCAGTTAAAAGCCTAATGTGACAGTTCAGCAAATCAAAAAAGTTAATGAAACAGAAAATGTCCTTCTCGATTATGGCAACAACCGCCATTCTAACAGCAATAAAGAGACCATACATTTTGTAATCATTTGAAATTTCTTAGAGCCTTTTTGGGGGAGTTTGAGCTCTATTTCAGAATGTAGAAGTTGTCAGAATTTTTGACAAAATTATGAAAGGTATTCTCAAACGTTTAGTTTTCAAGTGCAAGGAATTGCCAACATTGTAAATGTCCAAAACAGGGTGGCCATTCCTCATCCTTGCCTGAAACCCTGGTCAAGGCACCACTAGTTGTGCCTCTAGTAATGATATATCTCCTGTTTTCTTCATCAATTTCATAAAATATATACTAACTTCCACCGTTATATATATTCACTCTTCTTTCACCTCTGACTCTGCTTTCAACACTAACACTTCAAAGAAGTAAGTCAGTCTAGCGTATCACTGATGACCTGACAACCGTAAAGTTTTTCATTCCACACAAAACACAACCTTGGCTTTCTCCCTGTTTCCATGAATGGTACCGACTTGGAAATTTCTAATTCCTGTTACAACTAAGCCTTTCTGTATGACTCAGCTTAGGCCTGTCAACAATAATTTTCCTTCTCATTCATTCCATCACATTCTCACATTGCAGCACAGGCATTCTCTATTTTCATTCACATATCATGTATTTGATGACCCCTGTTGTATACTTTCTCTTTGCTAAGCTGCTAATCATCACCTTAACTCACCCTTCACATCATTTATTTCTTTCACATAACTCGTGATAATTTTGTCCAAATTGTGACACTAGAACAATGTTATCAACATTGACTATAAAATAGAAACATAAAAATTAAGTGAGATTCTTTATACAGGGAATAAATTGTGATTTAACATTTCAAAAGGTGCAGTAGAGGTAACAGATACACCGAAAATGGAGTCAAGCCATGGCTAGCAAGAAACCTAAAATTGCCTTAAATGTTCAGTAAATGCATGTGAAATTTTGTTTGTTTACAGAAACAGAAAATTTTCTAGAAACTACAATACTTAAATTGTTGGATTGGCAAATCATTTAACAGGAAGAATAAAGAGTTTATGATACCAAGATGTGTTGCAGTAGTGGTTGTAAAATGTTTATATACCTGGTATTTCCTTGACATTTTTTGAGCTGAGAAATTCTCCAGCAAATGTTGGCAGTATTGTTGTCTGTTGGTTTGGTTTGTGAATCTTTCCAGCCAACTTTGCAAGTACTTTGCTATGAGAGATCCCAGCACTTGATGTCAAGCCAAGATTGTCATAAAGAGACTTCCGCATCTCAGCTGCCAATGATGATGCCATAGCCATGCGAGAAAAGCAACCACAGCTGCAACCATTATCTGCTTCCATTGTGAGCAGTTCATCAAGGCTCTAAGATAGCATATATGAAACAATGCTCGTAAAACATGGAAACTTCTTCGATAAGGGAAGATTGCAACTTTCCAGAGGTACTAGAATTTTTAGTAGATTGAGCTCATTTGAGAAATTAAAGAACACTGTGATTTATAGCATATTTGCTGCATTAAAATTCATCAAAAATATTTCTGAGGATTTCCAGTACTGAAAATTTTCTAGATGCTTCTAAATTTGTAGAATCTTGAATTCCATTATCAGGCCCCTCCATGAAAAGACAACGTGGGCTATAAAAAGCCTCTGCCATTTTAGCTGCGTGGGCTATTTAGCCCTTGCACAACTGTTGTTAATTTTTTTATATTTGACTATTTACAGTGGCAAAGATACATTACCTTGCCAATTCTTTAAATACTATTCACCTTAAGAAGGCATTTTTGTGTATAACTACCTTTAAATTTTGTATTACCACTCCTTAAAATGAGACAAAAGAGGAACATAATTTTTTTGGAATATAGCAAAGTTTTGTCATGTTTAGCTGGTCAAATGTGGCTTTTTGCAAATGCCTAGTTAATATGTTTTGACTTTAAAAGAGATTGTTGTAAAAGAAAAGAAATGAATTTAGCGGTGAGTAGCACAAACAATGGGAAGCTAAATTGCATGGATTAAATGAGAAAAAAGGTTTGAAAAACGGGTGAAAAGAAGTCCTCGCAAATTTATCTTGCACAAGGTTTGCATGGGCGCGGGCTATAGCCCTCGTCCCCGAGAAAGGCCTGAATTATTTAATCCATTTGAGCAAAAAAGACAAACTTGCTTGTTGCTAAATGTAGCTAACTAATCATGTGTGGAACATTGGGAGCCCCCCTAGATGGTTTAGTCTCTAGAAAATAGTCATTGGTACCTCAGTGGGAAAAACGCGTACAATTGATTAATTAAGATTTATACCATATCAATTCTGCCATCATATCCATAGCAATGTCCTACAATCTTTTCATTGGCGCTTGGACATCTATCGTCAATCAATTTTGTCACATCGATAAAATTCTCGTCCAGACCAACTCTCTCAACGATTGGTGACACATTTTTCAAAAGGTTGAACATTTTCATGGTGAATTCACGGTACACCGTTAAGTCTTCTCCATTTACCATGATCATTTCAGGGCAAACTTTAAGTGCTTCGGTCCTTGATGACATCTTTTTTACTCCAAGTCGTCTTGCTTCATAATTTGAACTCACCACAACATGCTTTTGATAAACACCAAACGGCCTATCCCGCAAGGCTGGATTTCGTATTACTTCAACTTGGCAATAAAAACAATCAAAATCAATATGAATAATGCTCTTAATATGTCCGAAATTAGATTGCTTTGTTGATGGACTCGACTCGTTTGAGGTCGTACTTCTCAAAGTCCATTGCTCCGTATTTCGAGGCCCGAGTTTACATTGCCCATCATCATGCCTTCCATCAATTCTCCCACGCCCGGGAGTAAATTCAGACGATATGGGAATGTCAGCTGGCTGACGCCAATTAAAATCTTCGTCATTTTCTTCCTCTTCTTCGCAGCTCATATTTACAGAGGTTTGCAAACAGCAGACCCACTGTTCGGGCCTAGTAGCCTAAAAGTTTACAATTCGGAAATATGGCGGGAAAACAAGGAGATGACCTCGAACTGAGAAAGAGGAGCATAAAGAAAATAGAAAATCAGCTCCAACATGCATCATTGGCGCACTACATAGAAATGTCAGATAATCAAAGAATTGGATTTATCCGTCAAATCATTTAAATAAAAAAATATAATTCTAAAATATGCAGTACAAAGTATAGAAAATTAAATGTATAAAAATGAATACACAGATGAGGAAAACAAAGTTTGAGAATTCTCCTGAATGAGACCAGAATTGAAAATTCCATAGATATCAACGTTATTTAGTTTTTACGCCTTGCCTAACCTTCCATAGGTTAAGCAAGGTTAAAAGGGCTGTGGTCATTTAAAGACTTTTTGATCGAGTTTCGGGCCTCTGCACAAGTTAACAAATAATACTTATTACTATTGTTATTTCTGAAAATTCTGTTACCTTTTTGGCCTATATCATTCCATGTGAAGTGTTAACGAGTTTGATAATTCAAAATTTTATAAAGTACATTAGCATTCGTACATGATGTTTTACCGATGACAAAGAATTTTATCGTGGCACGTGTTAAGAGGGAATGGGTTACATAAATGCCCTCTTAATGCTAAAACTTTAATCCTAGGTTAACCTCAACCTGGCTTTAACCCAAGATTGCGTTTACGCACATTTCGAAGATATTAGCCTGGAATAAGCTAGGTTTAACCCACTTCCAGAGTAGAGTTGGCTTAACATATGTTAATTCCAGGTTAGCTACGTTTAACTACAAACATTATCACCCAGTTTAACGCTGACCTAGATTCAATCAAGATTAAAAGTTGTAGTTTCAGCAGGCCTAGAAAAGGCATGATTACATTATAGCATGGCTAGTCAATGTAGGCAGGAATGAAACCAAAGAGTGAATCTATTAAAAACAAACTGGAGCATTTTCCATCTGTCAATTACTTTGACACTGATCTTATATCTTTGTTGGCTTTCATGAAGAGCATTTGTTTGACTGTGACCAAAAGTTGGGTGTCTATTTTAGACATGTGGACGATACATATTCCGTTTTCAAAACAGAAGCTTAATGTGATATTTTTCTTAAACGCATTAACAGCTTACACCCAGCCCTCCAATTTATTTTTGAAAAGGAAGAAAGCGATTCCTTGTCATTTCTGGACGTTTTGACTGGATTTCTTACCAGTGTACATCGTAAGCCCAATTATACCTGTCAGCAGTGGCGGAAAACCAGGCTTTCATTTGGGGGGCCCAGGATTACAATTTTCCGACAGGATAACATCTTGGATCATGTCTAATTTTAAAGAAACTGCGCATTTTGATAAAAATAGATGATTTTTTGACAGGACCCTTTAGAAATCTTTGCTGATCACGCCATAATTAATTAGCAGGAAGAACAATCCATTTATACTTTTGACAAGTCGTACGTTCATTTTATGCATTCTATCTTGTTTTCGTCAGCGGGAAATACGTTTGAAAAGAACCTTTATTCGGAAGAATCCGATGGAAATTTTTGCTATTCTTTACGGAATTGAAGTTAAAAATACAATTCGCAAGAAGATTTGTTTTGGTCATAAATTGTTTGATTAACCATTTAGTACTGGCTGTTACTTTATCAGCTATGTTATGTTCAAATTTTTCAAGAAAAGGGTAAAAAAATGGAAAATGCAGATCACCTGCGTGCAAGATGAGCAGAAAATTTGGCAATTAAGCCTCTTGGATTAGCATAAAATTTCTTTTCAGAATGATTTTTTGGAGTAATTTCGACAAATTAAACAGTTGTCAATTATCCGACGAAAGCCCGAGTTTTCCGACGACATAACTAATTGGGAGGCACAACAATTTTATTAAGGGCCTCAATGAAAACAGCCTCCTCGATCCTGTAGGTCTAAAAACACAGCAAAAACTAGTTACTCTGCTATCGGACAGCACCTTTTAGACAACCCAAATCGTGCAAGACTCTTTAATGATGACAGGTTTCAGATAATTGGCAGAAACCGGTCGTCTTTTCATCTAGCAGTTTTGGAATCGATCTACATACATTTGAAAAAGCCACCATTGTGTAGACAGAAAAAGTTTGTTTTCTTTCTTGGACTCAAATGCTAATTTTCTTTAAGCATGCGGTACTGGTTGGTCAACTATACCGGTCTTGTGCTTGCGTTTTTCTGATTGGCCTATTTCGATCCACAATTGGGTGTATATTTTCCATCGTGGTCTTTCGGACCCTTATTCTGACGTTTCATACCCTGAGGAGTGTCAGATAAAGAAGCTTTTTGAAGTATGTTGTGAAATGTTTGCTTTTCTCAAAGCCATTTTTAACTTCTTTATTCATATCCTTTTTATTGAGAAAAATAATAAGTTGGACGTGTCTTGATACTTAATGATTTAACCTAATTGATTAAAGTGATAAGAAAATAACAAATAAACAGCTCATTAAAAAACAAAATAATAGGTTCTGTAAAAATTCTTCGACATCATTCTGTTTCTCTAACAGAAAATTCCATTTGCAAGGGTTCCATAAATCATTAATGTAAAAAAGTAGATTATTGACGAAACCATAGCAGTAATTGGGACACAATTTGTTGTACAATTTGAAGCAGCCACGACAGTCGAATGAAATATTCGATGCACAAGCTAGATTTATCCATAATTTTTGGAAAATTATGGAAAAAGCTTTTCAGTAAGTCTTATAAGATATTAAAAACAACAAAACATAGAAATTTACACTATCTATTAATTACACTATCTGTTTATATTTCCTGAAAGCTAGATTCTTTCCAAGATTTGGTAGATAACTTTTGACCTCGAGCACTTTTTACGTTGATTTGAAATTGAAAGCTTTTTGCCCTCTAAAACCAATAATATTTGCATGTTCAAAAGTTTGGTACATTAACACTTGTTATAAAAAAAACATTATCCAAGACAGTCTTTGATAGATTTTCTTGAATTCAAAGCTGAAAATGAATGCAAACTTTATTGATGTACGTGTCATTTTCACAGGGCTGAGAAATACAAGAATTCTGTATGCCATTATTTTATAGGTATCTACTAAAATGCCCTGAAACATAGAAAAAGTGGAATAAACTAATAAACTAATTGTGAAGAAGCTTCAAAGCACATCTTTTGAAAAGTTTTTACACAAAACCAGTAGTAGACGGAGGTGGCAAAACGACTTAGCTATGTGTTATTCAAGCAAATAGTACAGAAACATTAATAATAAAAGTAAAAAATGTACCACCTGGGCGTTTCCCAGACAAATCTACCGCGCTATTCAAGCAATTTCACAAGGTTTTAATGACAAATGCAGAGTTTTTCCTAATCAGCTTTCAATTTCAATGTGGATTACATTTTTTGAGGTTTCAGCGTGGTCCAGGCCTTTGCCCAGATTTAAGTTGATAAAATGCTAAGTCAGACATTAGGAAAACCACCATTAATAAATAGAAAAGACTTACTTGAGCATCAATTTTGTAGCAAATAGATTTATAATTAATGATACCACATTGTTATTGTAACATATTTCAACTTTAGCACCTCATCATTTGGTAGAACTGAAATGGAAAACAACTGGGGCGTGACGCTTAATGTTTTGAACTACACGGATGTAGATATATTTGGTCAAAAAGGAAACATTTCAAGTCACAGCAGACGATAAACAAACTATTAATATGTAGCTGTCCGTTATCATCTTGTTAACACATCTGTGCAACATGCAGTGACCAAGATGCAATGAGTTATGGCAATAGCATATTAGTGGAAAAGCATGGAAAACTTGCCACCTTTCATTTTACATTCTCGTTGCATTGAACCTACCATCCTCCAAATTCAAAGTGAACTTGCTTTAAAACTGTTAATGATTTGTATGCATCCAATTGATTGCATTCATTAGAAATGATACCTGCTTGAAAAATTTCCTGCGCTGTTTTTATTGCGTAGCAAGATTGCGGCTGGTACAGAGTTGTCAAGTGATGACGTCACAAAAATCTATTTTTAGAATTTTTGAACTTTGTTCCCATAACCTGAAAAAGCATCATGAAATATCTCTAAATCTGCAAAATCAGTCAAAGTTATTACGAATGAATTGGCTGAGATAAGACCAGGTTAGGACAAGCTCTTGCCCCATCAAACCTCTGTAATTTGGTCTCAGTTCATAACTTTATTGACTGAGCCAAAGTAACAGTAATCTGTTAGCAAACTTCAATTATTCTATTGGCCATAGCTCACCCAATTTTTGACAAATTTAACTCATTTTGAATATATGGGAGTATTTTATAGTGTTCTTCATGTTATCTGAAAAAAATTCGAAAATCTGCTTTGAATTTTGACAGTGATTTGTTTGTATGGCTAAACTTCACCCGATTGTACCATTTCCTGCTCCCTCAAAAAGTCAAATTATCTTATCAACATCACTTTACTTGCTCTTTTGTAAAGATCTTTCTAATAATTCGCAAGTATAAAGGCATGAATACTTACTTAAAGAAAGTTATAAAAAATATAAGCGTGTTTTGGGAAAAGATCCCATGTAAGGTCGTATATTGTAGGAAAACGAAGATGTATCTCTAACTCCAATTATTTTTTGCTTCCGAGCTAAAAATTAAATTCTATTGAAGGAAGATGCACATTTTACAGATATTTCTAGTATAGTTTATCATGAAACTGAAAAAAGGGGGTGCAGCACCCACATTAGATGGTGATACACTTAAGTACTTTTTTCATTTCATTTGGATGCGATTGGTGTAAAGTTTTTCTAGCCAAATGCGTAGTAAGTAGGTCTACTTTATTACATGTGGTCTTTTCACGATTACACATCCAAACGTACCTGGATAAATTTTGTGATTTTTGGTGTTGCATACGAGGTGATCTCAAATAATTTTAGGAGGCATAACCCAAAGATTAAAAAGACAATCAGAGCTTTACTGTCTTACTCTTTAGAATTATGAAAGTTATACTATATAAGTCTTAAAATATATATACATTGTTTCGGTCTTTGATTATGTGAAGTCATCAATGATAAGACTTCTGAACTACGCATGCCCATTTTACAAAGCAGTTCTATAGCTTTGTTAATTTCATTATCACTTGAATTTTCTATAGTATAACTTTCATAAAAAATGTCTGATCCTACTTGCTCTGTAGATGTTTTTGACAAAAAGGTAAGTGAAGGATAAGCAGCAAAAAGCAATAAACTGTTAATTAAATTGAAAGAGGCATCCTTACAAAAAAAAGTAAGTCGTGAAAACAAATATAATATATTCAATGTTTGATATTAAAAACATCTAAGCAACGGTCTTATATAGCTTTTTCAAATAGGGCACCTAACATTGTCAAAAGCAATAACTTTGCCCTATCAACCGTAAGCACGAACTATAGGAACAAATTTATTGTCTTTAAAGCGTACAGATTGAGAATAAACACAATAATATGCACATGAAAGAGAATCTTACTAAAAATTATAAAAAAACCTGCTTCCTTGTCTCTAAGACCCTACAATAGAATGAAAACAAAAATGTCGTGTCGTCTTTATCCTTTATTCTTGTTCGCTTAATCTTTCTTTTCGTTGTATCTTAATTCATCATTTATTTTATTTTCTTGCAGTGCATTAGTTTTACTGATTAAAATACTTGGCTATATTAGGGTATACCCAGTCTATTTACCATGACTCAATGCCTTTAAACTTCGATCAAACCTTAAATTGTAAACTGATATAGAAAGCTCAAAAACTAAATTGCCCAAACACCTAAAGGACTTGAGCAAATACCTAGTGTCTTACACTACAGTGCCAAATAGGCAATTCTCAGTGCCCTTTACAACATCACCGTAAGAGTTAAAAATATTATTTGTATTATATACACTTTCAAATGAATGTTTGATTTTTTGATTTTATGTTGCTTAATACTGCTATCATTAAAATATTATCCAGAATGGTGCTTTAGGCTTTTGGATAAAATTAAGGGCTTAAAAACGAGCCGACCTTAAAAATAAATAAAAAAATTTAAATCGGCAGGGGATTTTTTTCAAGAATCAGAAGCTAAATAGTCAGTAAACGGGGGAGAAGGTTTCACTATCCGAGTATGCCTTCATTTTGTTTAATTGAAAAATCTCCAACTCGGCAACCGGACGCTGAACACCTCCCTAAGATATTTTTCTAGCACCGGCCCTGGTTGTATCCTAAATTATGTGACAATATTTCCTAAAAGATTTTTAAACTGACAGGCTTGTGCATTTGTCTGGTTCATACCCCCATTCCATCCCAATGGGTGCACCCTAGATTTCCTGCAAGTAAACAAACAGATCAACAACAACAACACGAGACCTGATCATAGAGAACAACGACAACAGCAGCACTTTCAAAATGGTAATTGATTTGCAAGAAATTTAAGTGTATGGCTGTCAAACTATCATGAGTTTCGTAGAAAACCACGAAATTGTGCAAAATGGTGACACCGTCATCTTATTTCTGGTGAGTCTCTTTTATTTCCCACTATCTGAAACTGTTTTCCAAGGAACGGCTTAAAAATGGGCTGGCACCAGGCACCATCGCTATGTGATGTGATGTAACTCCTCCGTTTGCTTGACCTTGTATCTATTGAAGAGCAAGCAATGTCGGAGACGCATCAACGAAAGGAAGGCTATCTTCTTCGAAGTGTCCATACACCATTTATGGCAAGTGGTAGGCCTAACTTATTTCTGGAGCTTGGACTGTGGACGCACGAGAGGGCTGCTGTTTCAAAGCAGATCCAGACTAGAAGAGTTAGATATTTTAAGCTAGCAATTCTTCTGTCGCGATGTCTTTGTTGAGCACTTTCTTGGCAATTCAAGACAAATTTTGATTGACAAGAGTCTGATTGATGATGATACCTGATTTATTCCTTATAAATATTAACCAATTCATCAGATCTTTTCGTCACCTAACCAACAGGGTAGTTGTATTATAGAAGGCTTCCAAAATTTCGTTGCCAAGCTGCATGCATGATTTCTTACCAATACCAAATGTGAAATGCCTACTATCTGCAAATTCAAATTTCACTGTTCTGAGATTTTATGCACCTAGATGATACTTCATCCCACTCAATAAAAAGATAAATCAGTTGCAAGAAATCACATAAAACTGACACTCGATGGCCAGACTGGAAACTTTGTTTCTTGCGCAAGCAAGCTCGCGCGCCTGGATGCGCCACTGCACACCTGAAATCGCACACTTTTAAGAAATTTGTATTGTTATTAATGTGAAATGTATCCAAATAGGGAATTTTCTGGGCCAATATGCAAAAGTGCGCAGATGGAAAATTTGAGTGTGCGGGAAATATATTGCAGGCGCACGACAAAGTTGCCAGTCTGGCTCAATGGAAAGAAAAACTGTGATTCTTTCCTTTAGGTCAAAAATTAAATAGAGCCAGTTTTAGAATTCTAAAAAAAGGTTGGCATTTTCTTTTAGACAGTAATATATAAGCTTCTCCTATTCACTGACAAAAGTTTGCATATTTTATTAGCAAAGCTCTTTTTTAAACTTTGATGACCTTAATCTGCTGCTGAATTCTATTTTTCACAGTGTGAATTCCAAGCTGAAAAACTTCCATCAGCTGTTTCCAATATTCTTAAATGTGGAAAACCTTTAATGCCTGTGCAGCTGTTGTGCCTTGAAAGGCATTTCTAGCTTGGCCATTTAAATTCTTCCTTGCACTGATTTGCAAATTTTCAAGAAAAGGCTGCAAGAGTTTGCAAAAAAAATATCTTCAATTATTCATTCCATTCTGAAAGCTTAAAAACAAAATCAATGGCCATGGACTTTTTAGCTGCATCATGGTAGAGTTTTGAAATTTAAATTATGATTTTCTGAATGGTGTACTCTGGGTTCTTCATTTCTGCAGTAGTGGTTAAAAAAATCTTGTTCTCTTTTTGGTCAAAAAGGTTTTTTAGCAGCATACCACTATTTTTTAGAAATGCTAAAGGAAGTTGTCAATCTTTGTTGTTTAATGCATGGGGTCGCACATACACACATCAGCACACACATGGAGAAAATAATGCGAGTGATTTATGACATGCTTGAGTCAGACATTTATCTGTTGTTTGATCTTTTTAAGACTGCAGTTATTTAACGAAATGCTGGAAATTTTGCTTCCCAAAGCTAAGCAACTTCGCCTTATTCTTACAATAGCTTTTTGGAAGAGATACAATGTTGTACGAAGGCTGAAAATTATGTATGTGCTGCAAATATAACATACAAAGATTTCCAACCTCAAAATCAAAACCTTGAGGCTTGGAATCAATAAAAGCATCATAAAAAGATTTAAATATTTGTGAAATGTTTTCCCAAGCATTGATTCTCAGAAGGTGTGCTCATATACTTTAAGGATTTCAAAGATTGGATGGCAATGATATTTCAGATGATTATGTACATTCTGTAAAGTTTCCGAAACTAAATAAGGCTCTGAAGGGCAAAGTTAAAACTAATCACAAAAGACTTTTTAAAAATATATATTGTTTGCTTTGCAAAAAGAATGAAATATATTATGCGTGTGATTTACCACACACATGACAATATCTTTACGACAAAGACTGAGTTGTAGATTCTACTTGCTGCTCAATAAGCCATTTTCTTGAATATCTGCTAAAGCTGTATATAAGTTACATTTTTATCTGGTATAAATACAAATGCACAGATAATTTGAAGGTTTGTTTTTTTGGCCTGTTGTCTTGTGGAATATAGATTTAAACGACTTATCTCCCATATAAGAGACAGTGTTTCACTGACTTGGTTTGTTGCTTTCAGCTTAGAATTTAGGAAACAAATTTTGCTTACAAAATTATTTTTATTTATGCATCACATATTGCTTCAGTAGAATTGAACAGTTTGACCTGTTTGGTGGATATCAACCATATTAAAATCTGAAGTCAAGTTTTAGCAACTTTTTCAAGTGACAGATGCAGTTTTCTTGAAACAAACATTTAAGTTGAAAGTTCTTGAATACTTCTTGTAACAATTGACATCCATTTGATTGAAACTACTGTTTGGTGCAAGGCAATTCATTTATTAGAAATACCATTGGCAATTCATTCATTTTTTCAACTCCTGCCAAAATGGCTTTTGCCAAAATGAAAATGCTCAATAACTTCTTTACTCTAGCATTAAAAAAGAATTAAATCACTTTGTTTGCCTATTTTCTTTGTTGCTTTTTTTTAAGGGGAATTATGCAAAAATGCCACAAAACACTAAAAAATTCTACAAAATTACAGCAAAATTGCTGGAAGATACAAAGCCTCTACATTTTTTGAAGAAGATGTAAAAATTGATTTTGATCTTTTTTAACCTTTTTGTTCACCTGAAAGGTCATAAAAATGATTTTGATTTTTTTTGGTCAATTTTTTCGCTCATCTGAAGGGTCATAAGAAATTATTTTGCTCTTTTTTGTTCAACATTTATTGATCATCTGAAGGGTCATAAAAATATGACTTTTATTTTTTTTGTTCAACATTTTCATTCATCTGAAGAGTCATAAAAATAGATGTTGATGTTTTTTATTCAACCCTCTTTTAGCCCTGGTATTAAAGTGTGCAGTCATCTAAAGTCTACATGTCAATATGTTTATTTTTTGTTGATAACCATATACCAGTAAGTTCTTCTTTTCTACTCTTGGACTCCTTTTGAGATGCTTTGTTTTCCTTCTTATCTTTTCTAATCTTTTACGCCATTCATTACTCAGGGACATAATTCCATGCAGACTGTGAAGATGGTTTCTGGGAAAGTTCATCAGACAAAGTTTGGAGCATTTCCACATGATAGAATAATAGGGAAACGATTTGGATCAAAGGTCAGGAGTTTTTGCAATTTTTCACAACTTACTAGGATCAGTAGCGTTCACCTTAACCATTTGCATCATTAAATTTTTAAATGGAAATTCAACACTGTGATTTTTTACTGTCAATTTTGCATTATCTAGATCTTTTGAACTTGAACTAATAGTGTGATCTTTAGAATTGGCTCAACTTTAATTTTAGTAGACTCTTAAATGATAGCATCTTCTGCGCAAGCTGACCAAATTTTTATGTATAAATATAGATTATTGTCAGTATGAATTGACATTATTATCAGTGCAAATGTCAGTGCAAGCTTTTTGTTACACTAACATAGAGTACCATTTTGAAACAAGCTGTTTGTTGTTGTAAGTATTTATTGTTATGGCAGTGTGTCAAGCTGTTCATTGGTTTACAATAACAGAACATTTTTTCTATCTTAGTGTCATTCATTTCGTAATTTCGTATTTTTCCTTCTTCTGGCTCACATACTAATACACCAGTTCGACCCAAGGCCTCGTTTTGCAAATTTTTCCAAATCTAATTATACGAATTTTTTATAATCAGATTTAGTATCACCATAATTTTCGGCCCTGTACATATTATTTGTGCTTGTATTTTAGATTTTACGGAGAAATGAAATTTGAAAACTTGTAAGGGATTTGACCGCAAAAATCATTCCGAGTGAAATTTCACTCCCAAAATCGCCAATTACGGTCAAATCCCTTTAAATTTTTTATCTTTATGCCGTCATAATTCAAAATCGTGAGCAATACCATAATGAAAACTTCCAAACAAACTAAAATCATTGCTCTCAATCCGAATCTGATTTCAAAGATTTTGTACAAAATAATTCGAAGAATTTTTCAAAATGGGGTCGTAAGTGGAATTGATGCATTTGTAACCTCTATAGAATTTTGAGGACCTGCAAATTACAGCAAACAATAACCAATTAACAGGGTAGTGCCTTTAAAAGCACTAAGTCCTGGCACATTTTGATGACCTTTTTTATTTTCATTGGTAACTACGTATCGTTACATAAACAATAGGACTCTCATTACATATCTAATGAGCAATGTAAAAGCAATGCACAACGTTTTCTCAATCAGTAATGTGTCAGATTTTCACTCTAAATAGTTCACTTACAGTGTTTTTTTTACTTTGGCATGTAGAGATATGTTCTTGAGATACTGAAAATTAACAATCTAAAAGTTAAGATCAAGCTTTTTTTAATGTCTGGAAAACCCTTTTACCAAAAATGGACATAAATGTTACCTGATGGGAATGCCCACGACTAAATTATGGTTACCTAAAGGCAGTTGCAAAATAATAGGATTATATCACAAAAAGTACATTTCCCGAATATTACCCCTCCACGAATATTCTCCTGCGAGTTAGGACAAAATAGAAAATTCATCCTTCCGAGAACTGGGGGATGTGTCTCTCCCAGTCGCCCAGGTGGCCATGCTGTTAGTTGAATTGTCAAATTCTTGAATTTTTTTGTATTCTAGGTATTTTCTAAAAACAACAGAGGATATGTGTATCTACTTTATCCTTCGCCAGAGCTCTGGACTGTAACACTGCCTCATAGGACACAAATCCTGTACACTACTGACATTTCACTGATTACTTTGGAACTGGATTTAAAGCCTGGATCTGTGGTCGTAGAGTCAGGTATGTTCCTCTATTGCTTTTACTTTACTATTTTTGAATCAGCAGGAAATCCAGATTGCTTTTTTAGATCCTCTATTTAAAAGTGATATAGTTTTATTTCAAATAAATGTATCAGATTATCCGTCTGATGAGACTGGTCAACTCAAGTGTTGATCACAAAAAATTTACGACAGGATCAGATCCACGGGCTCTCAATGACCAGAAATGTATGGCCTCCCTACAATATACAAGTCGAATGTTCCACTTAGACTGATCTTGTATATGGTTGGCTCAAACACAACACCAATTGCCTAAGTGGCTTTTTGAAGTTTAGGACCCTGTTCTTCAAAAATATTCAAAACATTGCATCTAGGATTCCTTTACGTTTGCCGAGTTTGTGCAAAACCTGAACATCAAAACGAAACATCTTTCATGTGACACAAGTGACTATAAGTATCAAACGTCTTTCTTTTGACATTAGTAGTCTTTTCACAAATTTTCCTCTGAGTACGACCATCAAAATATGTGCCGACGCCCGAAGCGTGCTTAATAGCCCACCATTTCCAGAGGAAGTATTCATTGAACTCATGGAAACTGCGACACGTTCAATTGAATTCAGCTTTAACAGCACCTTAATAGCCTATACCCAGCCCTCCAGTTTAGGTTTAAAAAGGAAGAAAATTATTCCTTGCCATTTCTGGACGTTTCGTCTAAAAGTCTAACACTGGATTTTTTACCAGTGTATATCGCAAGCCCACTTTTACTGGTCAGTACATATGCTGGAATTCTGGAAGACCAAAACAACGCAGCGTCAACCTCGTCAAAACATAAACTCCACGCTGAACTGGAAAAACTAAAAACGATTTTTCTGGACAACGGCTATCCAGAAGATGTCATTTCTTCTTACACTAGAGAAACGATTGCAAGTATTTTCGGCCGTCCAAAGTTCGGTCCACTAAAAGTGGTAACCATTCCTTGCATTGGTAACCATTCCTTGCGATTTAAAAGTCGGATTGAACAGGCGATCATAGAGTGTTTCTTTGCTGTTAATCCTCCTATTATATACAGTATTACTATTAGGAGAGCCTTTCCATTCATTCAAAAGGATTGCGCTCCTATCACCCAAAATAGTTCCATTATTTGTGAATATAAGTGCCAATGTGATTCTGGCTACGTAGGACGCACAACCCAAAGATTTGGGGATAGAATAAAACAAAATTTCCGTTCCAAGATAGGAAACAAAACTGCCCCTCAAAGAGAAAAACCTCCTCGATCTTGCGGGTCTAAAAACACAGCAAAAACTAGTGACTCTGCTATCGGACAGCACCTTTTAGACAATCCACATTGTGCAAAACTCTATAATGACGACATGTTTCGGATAATTGGCACAGCCCGGTCGTCTTTTCATCTAGAAGTTTTGGAATCGATCTACATATAAACGAAAAAGCCGACATTATGTACACAGAAGGAGTTCGTTTTCTCTCTTGGAATCCAGTGGCAATTTTTCTTTAGGCACGTTGCACTGATTGGTCAACTATACCGGTCTTGTGCTTGCGTTTTTCTGATTGGCCTATTTCGATCCACAACTGGTTGTATATTTTCATCGTGTTCTTTCGGACCCATATTCTGACGTTGAGTGTCAGACGAAAAAGCTTTTAGTAGTATGTTGTGAAATGCTTGCTTTTTTCAAAGCCATTTTCAAGCTCTGTACCGCCAAAAATTGTATCAGATTTATGGTGTTAAACAACTTTGAGCAAATGAGTAAAACATTTTTGTAGAATTTTTTAATGGGTCTGTGAGCAGACCTTGCCCTGAATTGAATTATTAAGCCTTTCAAAGGACCAAAGTGCTTGAATCTTATTTCAATATCAGCAGGATTAAGACGTGACCTTTTCATTGCTCATTCTTGTAATTGACTCATTTGTGGATAATCATTCTTTCTAAGCTGTTTTAAAAATAGTAAAATTGGATCTACCTAAATCAAGCTCTTTTCTGTCTAACTTTCTTTTATATCAATTTTTTGAATTTTGTTTAGTATTAATAACAAACCAGAAGTATTAATGATCTCAGAAATGAAACACGTTTGTATAGTCGAGTAGTATTTCTCCACTGTTCTTATCAACATCAAAGCTTAAAGCATAGAAAATTTTAGAGATCTTTAAGATGACTTTGCTCTGCTTTGATCAAGACTTAAATTGTTGCGTAATGGTCACACTTAGCGTGAAACTCGAAGTTGCAACTTTCTGTTCTACAAAAAATTGTGTATAATAAGTGCGTAGAACAGTGAATTTCATTTATTTAAGTTGGTTTCCATTTCTTCATGAGGAAACAGCGTTTGCTCAGAAAGACCATCGGATGTTTTATTAATTTACATAATATGACTGTTTTTGCACCGTGATGCTGTCATTTTCCTTATTCCTTTGTTATTTTAAGTGCTGTCAAGACTTCCAACCACTAATTTTTATAACGATTCTGATATTGATTTAATGATTTTAGTCTTGCATAGGTTTTGGAGGATTTTAATTTCGGGGCTCAATTAGTAAACAAGCTCAAAATAAGAAAATCCATCTGCTAAGATTTTTGTTTGAAAAAGCTTAATTATAAAATATGTTAGATAATTGCTTTTAAAATTCCAAGACTCTTTTATTCATTTGTAATGTATATTTTGCAACTGGATTTGATTTTATTTATTTATTTGAATCCCCCCTTAGCCTTTGAACGTATCGATAAACTCATTTGTTTTGATGTCTTTTTCACAGCCCACCCTTCAACTAGCTTATGTTTTGATTTGAATACCATACCAATCTACGAAACCAAATAGCAATTATGTCATTTTGCCTTAACCAAAACGCATTCAGCTTTTGGTTTAACCTAAAATTTAATTAGGGATATAAGTATCGGCTAAGTTAATTATTTTCAATGGCTTTGAAAAAAGCAAATATTTTGAAACGTTTTCTAAATTTTTTCTTCTGACACTCTTTATATTATAAACTTCATAACGTAGTTCGAAAGACATTTAGCTAAGAAATATAGGTATAGATCGAATTAGGCCAAGCCAGAAGCGAGCATATGACTGTAAAGGTTGCCCAATCGGTCCCGATTGCCTATTGGAAATATTACTAATAGAATCTAGGGGTGGAAACGATCTCTTTCTGTCTAAACATTAGCGGATTTATTCATTTTTATGTAGATAGATTTTATAACTGCTAGATGGAGCGTTGATCGGGCTCCAAGAGTAATCTGGAATGTTTTGCCATTATAGTTTTAAGCACGATGCTTTAATTGTTGTTTCTGATCTACAAGTCTTTCGTGGCTGTCCTCTTTGGGTGAGAGTTTTTTAATGATGACAGGAACATTTTGTTTCAATATGTTCCCAAATCATTTGATCGTGCGTCCTACGTAGCTAGAATCGCACTTGCACATGCCCTCATAGGTAACGGAACCCTTTTTGGATGGTAATTTTGGGTGAAATATTTTGGTTCTTCTATTAGTCATCAGTATTTGTAGCTGTAACCTAGCTTGCTTTCTTTGGTATGATCTATGGATTATTTCTATTCATCTCATTGCTTGTAGGAACCGGCAGCGGATCAATTTCGCATGCATTTGTCCGGACAATTATGCCCACGGGACATCTGCACACATTCGATTTTCATCAGCAAAGAGCCGATCAGGCAAAGTAAGGCATTGCGTTATTTACAACAGTAATAAATCATTCGAAAAATGAGTGCAAATCAGATATCGATTATTTCATGTTTGTAACTATGCTTATTTTTAATAAAGTCACTTTCAATCGAAAATCATCGTGCATTGCGGCCAATTGGTGAAACGTACCGAAAAGATACTTTTATTTATAAGGTGTAGGTAATAGGGTAGCTTTGGAGTTAGTCCAGGGGGAGGGGGGTTGATTGCTTCATTTGCTAAGAATGTACACCTTCCAAGTTTGAAGCAGTATAATCAATAATCGATATACTAGTAAATTGTATCATTTTAACGAAAACAACAGATGCAAGCACTTTCCGTGTATTTTTGCACGGCGCAATAGACATATTTTCAAAACGGGCTAGCTTTAAGTGATAAATAATGAAAGTTTGAGTCGACCTTTTCAGTAACTGATATTTCAGTAAACTGTATCGAAAGATTATTTATAAGTTTGTTACAAAACTACGAAATGGCATTAGCCGATTATATTCCAAGAAAAGATGTTTGACTAGGCCATTCGTCGTCGTGGCTGTTTGTGCTCTGTCTGATGGCCACATTCCAAAGACACCTATCTTAAGCTTGGCATATGCAGTCTACCAAGCTTGACACCCGTCAACTGTTTGATGTTACTGTTCATCTGCACTAGGCCATTACTGATGACATTTCTGTTATTTCCAAGTAATTTTTTAATTTGGATGTCATTTCTTGACAGGCTTGATTTTGAAAGTCATGGAATCGGAAAATTTGTGACTGGCGCATGCAAAGATGTTCTGGCTGATGGATTCGGCCTGAAAAATGTTGCTGATGCAGGTATGCTGACGCCCTCAAAGCCTTCTTGTTGTTCCTTATCATCCTGAAATATTGCAGAAAAATACCTCCATTCTAGGTCTACCTCTTCATAACTACAGACTCTTGCCTCAGGGTTTATTTTCAGGAATTTTGATCGCTGCACATTGTCAACATTTTTGAAAAATTGGGTATTGGCTTTTGAAAATTTTATGACCATACCTATCGAACTAACTGTATGTGAAGTTATTGAATTACCCAAGCTTTACAAGAGATTTCAACGAGGAAAAGTGGTCTAGGTTTAAACAGGTTTTCCAGGACAAAGATTTCAAAGGACAAAACAAACTAGATAGCTTCTAAATACTGAATTCGATAAAATTTTGGAGAGATTTCATAGATTATGATCATTGTTACTGTCATGTTCTCGTTTTTAATGTTGTTCTGCTCTTTTATAAGCTTAATGTGTCTACTGGTATTTGCTTTTTCACTACCCAATCACTTTTCTAGTTTTATCACTGCACAAAATCTGAGTTTATCACTGTACAATTACGATTAATCACTGCGCAACTTGGTTTTCACTGCTCTTTAAAATAAACCCTGCTTTGCACCTAACCTTTAACTTGTTTATAAAGTTTGGCTTAAGTAAAACCTGGCTGGAAATGTTAATTTTAACCAAAACCACACACTGATAAAAAGTGACAGAGTCTTCTTGCACCAATGAGATATCAATAAAATTGATTTTTTCCACCGGGCTAGACCTAAATGAGACAATTTAGCATGTAAATGAAAAGAAAAGCTCCTGGTAAGGAGACAGTAATCGAAAATCGAAAGTTTGTATTGCCTTAAAACGTTTTGTGTTCTGAAGAGTGTTAGACGAAATGCTCAAGTATGTTTCAAAATTTTTACTTTGTTCAAAACCATTTTTGATTTCTTGAGTGTTTGTTCAAATTGTCATTTCTTGTAATTGTTTTGATAGGATTAACATTAGAATCATGGTTTAAGTGCATGTGGGGATGGGTAATGACAGCCGTGATTTCGTCTTATTGTTGAAATGATACCCTGCATCTAATTTAGTTTTAACTTTATAATCTTTCGAGCCTTGTTCTTTTGTACTGTTAAAACTCAAGTTTTCAATGTCTAACCTCGTTTCATATCGATATACTGCATATCTTTGTCAGTTTCTTGCTCTTGATATTTCCTTTCAATAAATTACAGTTTTCCTTGATTTGCCGAAACCATGGGTTGCAATTCCACACGCAAAAGAAGCCTTGAAGGTATAAAAAATAACAGACTAATCTCACTTATTGTTTTTACTTCCAAACTAACTTGAGCCCCCAAAAATTCATCAATGAAGTTTTATATAACATAAAGGTATTCAATTCATTAATTAATTATCACACAATTTCTTCACATTTAAAGTAACCTGATTCGCAAATTGTTTGAATTCGTTTTACTGATAATTCTTTGCTTCATTGAAGGCCTCCGGTGGAAGAGTCTGTTCGTTTTCCCCATGCATAGAGCAGGTACAAAGGACCTGCGAACAACTAAGAAAGTCTGGATTTTGTGGTAATAGCCTTTCTTATTTTCTTGATATTACTGTCTTCTTTTCACAATATATGTGCTTATCTTTAAAAACATAGCAAGCACCTACCAAGCAGCTAGTATGTTTTTATCTTAACTTTTTCAGTATTCTTGTTATCTAAAAATTTATTTGAAATTGCGAATGTTGTGGCTTGCTTCAAAATGATCGAAAAATTTTCGTTGATAAGGACATACCTGCATTAAAGCATTTTCAATTATAAGCACCATCTTTTAATAAAATCAGTTGCTACTTATTATACTTCATTGCTTTGCAATCAGTGGGTTTTTTGAAAAATGTTTCTAAGATGGTACACTTCCAATGTTTTGAATATTCGATATGACCAAAGTCGTTAGTTTGGGCTTCTCAAATGTGACCACGTGAGAAAAACGTCCGTATGGCGGCCCCTAATTCCTGGGCTGCCAAAATCTAATTGCTATCTCCAAACCCACCCCCCTCCCCCTCAATTCGAAGGTTTCTAAAAACATTTTCTGGCCTTTTAACGTCAAGTCGCGTCTTAATTTTTCATTGACATGATTATTTTTATATAACCTCAATACAGGATTTTAAATTGCTTATGAAATGGAAAGATAAAAACTAGTTTTCAAGCCTGATGCATTTATCAAATACAATGTCAACGACAAAGATTCAATCAAACTATGTTTTGATATGCGTATTGAACTAATATAATTCTTTAATTTTAGAGATTAAAACTTTAGAGTGCTTATGCAAGACCTACGACGTCAGAACTGTTCCACTGCCCGAAGCAAAGTTTTCCAAACCTGTAAGCCTTTTTAGTACCTTGATTGCTGACTGTCTGCCCTTTGTATACCAAGTTCTGTTTAATTATGAATTTATTATTTACTTATTTGCCTATGCTTATTTGCTTAGATATTGGTGTGAACGTGCCATCAAAACTTTCAGCCATACTAAAATTGCCAGTCGATTCATCTCTAAAGCTCAGCTATTTTTACCAGTCTTATCTATATTCATTGTAATGTTACCAGTTAATGCTTTTTTGCTTCTACCAACTTTAATATTTTTACTCCTCTTGGCACTGTCAAGTCATGCCTAAGGTATTGTTGATGGAGTGACTATGACACGATGAAACCTATAAACAAACAAAGCCATCTTCTAGTTTGTTCTCTATTTTTCCATCGAAGGCTATAAGAAGGGGGGCAAGGCCTACACGTGACAATACTTGCGTCTGGTCCTTATCTTGTCAAGGAAGGGCGTTTTTCCTGTAATTTGCTTTTTTATTCAATTCTGTCTGGACAACGGAGATTTCATCTGGAAAAGATGTTGAGCGAGACAACAATGCTTGTCTGACTTTAAAACTATTTCAAGATCATCTCCAGACCTTTTTTTATCTTTTTATCCCAAATTTTTTACTTTTTCCGACATTGTCTACAAATTACTTTATTTCTATTTTTGCTCCAGTACACATTAAGAGCCTTGTTGAATGAATTAAAATGTTCTTAGTTTGGTAATATATCACATTAATTTTCTCATGTTTATTGCGACTTTGTTAATCGTAGAAACCTTTTCATGGAAAAGTGGCCAGGGATGGGGAAACGAAAATAGAGGTGCCTGAAGATGAAGTAGAAGTAGGTTTTTGCATTTTTTTAATGGCATTAAATATCTCGTGCTTTTTTACTTTTAAATTTTCAAAATGATAGAACATGCTGCTAAGTTAGTATTTTCAATAGCAAAAGATTTGATAAAAATCTAGAAGAACTTTGAAGCTACAATTATTTGGAAAGAGGGACAGATTTTTTTATCGATTTGATATGTAATTACAATCTTTCACTGTGAAATGGTTTACTTTTGTGCTGTGCTGTCTTGTGCTAGTCACCACCTTACACGATTCAGGATGGCCCCCCCCCCCCCCACTTTGGACTACTCTGTCCAATCTTGAGTGATAGCACATCGCTTTTGGAACGTTACTTCTCCCCAGATTACTCTTCGCTTCTTTTTTTTTCTGGATCTACGATGCTATCAAACAGCCGAAAAATGAGCTCTTTCTCCGGGGACTGCACTTAATGCACGTAGAAAACAAAAGAAAGCAAGCATTTTCCTCTGACACTCCTCAGAGCATAAAACGTCAGAATCAGGGTCCGAAAGAACACGATTAAAAATATATACCCAGTTGTGGATCGAAATAGGCCAATCAGAAAAACGCAAGCACAAGACCGGTATAGTTGACCAATCAGTGCCGCGAGACTAAAGAAAAATGATTCTGACGTTTTATGCTCTGAGGAGTGTCAGACGAAAAAGCTTTTAGTATGTTGTAATGTGTTTCCTTTTGGCAAAAATATCTTTTCAAAGAAAATCTAAACGCCTTTTCATCGAAGTCTAAATGTTTTTCCTTTTTTGTTTCGAGTTTTCAGCAAAATTCGTCTTTTCTTTCGATGCAAGGGTTAATTCTGAAATCATTTCAACCTGAGCATTAATACGAGATGAATCACAAAGCATTCTGTGAGCCCTATTCTCGAATAACTGGATCCCTAATTCGTCATGAAAACCAATCTAAACTGGAAGACAGTTTGAAGCACACCCAATCCGGGGTTATTTGATTTAGGCCATGGTTTGAAGAAGATCTTACGTCGTTATTTTGGCAAACATCAACTCATAACGAAAAGTCTTAGATAAAACAGGACCATGCTTTATAAGTCAAATGCAAGATAAAATAGCTTGATGCATATAAAGGTAAGCCCACGAGTTATTCGTAATTCTGCTGCGTGGAGGTATTTCTACTGCTTCATTCAATTGTTTCATCTTCTAGACATTACCTGATGAAAAACTGGAGGAAACATCAAATTGTAACGTTATTAATGAAGATTTTACGAAAGCTGCAGGTTCTTTGAAGCGACCACATCCTGATTCTACCAACGAAGAGAGGAACCCCCATGTAAAATTACAGAAACCAGGAAACTTGAATACTTTAACTGCTAGGCCAATCAAAGAAATTCCTGGCCATACTGGGTATTTAACTTTCGCTAGTTTATTACCTGTATTCAAAGGTCTATGAAATGATTTTTTTATATTTGTTACCTCAGCATAAAAATATCGTTTATGGTCCTCAAAATGTTACCGACTTTGTATTTTTCGTTGTCTCTCTATATTTAATGTTCTGTGTAGACAATCTAACCGTACCCCCCAGTTTTGTTTTGAAGAAAACCTAAAAATGAAAGAAGTTTTATTTTGTGAAGAACTGGGTGTTTTTTATGTTTGTTATGTCAGTATAAAAATGTCATTTGTTGCCATCCAATTAAGTACTTCTGTTTTGACTTTTTTTTGCTGTCTCTCTATAAAGGCTGTTTTGTACAAACTATCTGATCTTACTCCTTTCCTTTCTGTGAAAACAAAACCAAAATTTAAAAAAAGTTTCAATGGAACTCCGAGTTTCACGTTTGTAGCAATCATCACGCATTTATTCCTTATGACTATTAAGTAAAGGATGATGTGACAAAACTCAAAAAGATGTTTTCTCTTTAGTGTAATACTGAGTCAGCTCATTGAGTTTGTCTGTGAGTAAAATCACGTAATAATTTCATGGGACGTGTAGCTGTTATGCAAGTGTTGCACAAGACTACTCCATTTGATTATTCAGTCAGACAGAAAGGGCGGGAACTAAACTCAGACACCTAAATACAGCAAAGTCTGTCACGAGTACGGAATTAAAAAGGCCTTTAATTCAGTGGAGGTACGGGTGTTAAAAGAATTTCCTGATATACTGTACAGAAGTTTTTTCAGTCTAGCCTCGCCACACCCTTTGGTCAGTGTCTAAATGTTACATGCAAACCCGTTATCCTACTTCTGTCTAAAGCGACTCTAATCTTGTTTATTATACGATTCAGCCATTAGGGTTTGAAGAATGTGGGCTATAAGAGTTTCCCTTGTCTAGAATATGTCAAGAAAGGTTAACGAGCCAATAGTATGACCGGATAGCTTTGCGGCTGGTAGAAAGCCATACTTGGTTAGGAAGCCATACTTGGTTAGGAAGCCATACTTGGTTAGGAAGCCATACTTGGCTAGGAAGCCATACTTGGCTAGGAAGCCATACTTGGCTAGGAAGCCATACTTGGTTAGGAAGCCATACTTGGTTAGGAAGCCATACTTGGCTAGGAAGCCATGCTTGGCTAGGAAGCCATACTTGGTAAGGAAGCCATACTTGGCTAGGAAGCCATACTTGGCTAGGAAGCCATACTTGGCTAGGAAGCCATACTTGGCTAGGAAGCCATACTTGGCTAGGAAGCCATACTTGGCTAGGAAGCCATACTTGGCTAGGAAGCCATACTTGGCTAGGAAGCCATGCTTGGCTAGGAAGCCATAATTAGCTAGGATGCCATACTTGGTTAGGAAGCCATACTTGGTTAGGAAGCCATACTTGGCTAGGATGACATACTTGGCTAGGAAGCCATGCTTGGCTAGGAAGCCATACTTGGCTAGTAAGCCATACTTGGCTAGGAAGCCATACTTGGCTAGGAAGCCATGCTTGGCTATGAAGCCATACTTGGTTAGGAAGCCATACTTGGCTAGTAAGCCATACTTGGTTAGGAAGCCATACTTGGCTAGTAAGCCATACTTGGTTAGGAAGCCATACTTGGCTAGAAAGCCATACTTGGCTAGGAAGCCATACTTGGCTAGGAAGCCATACTTGGCTAGGAAGCCATACTTGGCTAGGAAGCCATGCTTGGCTATGAAGCCATACTTGGTTAGGAAGCCATACTTGGCTAGTAAGCCATACTTGGTTAGGAAGCCATACTTGGCTAGTAAGCCATACTTGGTTAGGAAGCCATACTTGGCTAGAAAGCCATACTTGGCTAGGAAGCCATACTTGGCTAGGAAGCCATACTTGGCTGGGGAGCCATACATGGCTAGGATGCGTGATATCTTCTAAAATATGATACAATGCACTCCAGTTATATCGCAGCAAATGCCGTTCAGTTGAGTCGGCTGTATGTTAGCCACAAAAAATATCCAGGGAAACTTTAATGAAAGATGCCAACTGTAATTTATAATTTGCTTTACTTTTTCTGTCCTATTCAAAGGTGTAAAATTTGAAGACATGTTTTCTTAACAGCTATCAAATGCATCTAAACATTTCAACCGTTTTTTAAAACAGGCCTTTTTATATTCATTTATCAATGAAGGAGCATTAATTTGGATTCTTGTTTTTGTATTTTACGATTACATGTTCTTACATCTTTGCACGTCTTGCATGGGTACCTGTCAACAAATGGAGCTCTTTTCACTGAATTTATACCTTGTATCCCCACTTGCCCTTATGAATTTATTATTTCAAACATTAAATCATGCTGAAAAGTATTTTTTCCTTTGAATTAGATTAAAATTTCTTCTTCAATGAGGCAATTTTGTGGTTTTCTCGTTGCTATAAAATTCTGCCTAAACATATGCTCTTAATAAGCAACGTGATTAAGGTCCCCCTCTTACATGAGATTCTAATCTTGCTTATAACTTCTTCCAATTTTTCAGCCAATTCTTCCTGTGAATTTTCTTTAAAATCTATCTTTGACTCAATTTACGTAAAATGTTGTCTCAGCCACAGAAGTAAATGCCAAAGTTTTTATTCGAGACTTGTTACAGAGTAACGGCAGTTAGAACTTATATTAAGCGATAGGGAAACGAAGCTATAGCACACAAAGAAAAAAACAATAGTAGAGAATTTATATTAGTAGCTTTATTCATTAAATATTCTTGATAACTAATCATCTACATGTATTTAGATTTGAGATGCTTAATCCCACGAGTCCGTAGAGATGACAATAGAAATAAAGAGTTAATTATAGGAATATTCAAGGTAAATTATTTTGGAATCGAAGATTGTTGTCATGAAATAAGAATCAAATATTGTTTTCCTAAAAGTGCTGATAATCAATGAAAAATTAGTCTAAAGTTCAGCAATTTGAAGTTCTGTTAAAGCATAAAGCCTATTGCAGCTTTAGAAGGATTCCTACCAAAAACCTCGTGAAACATTTAAGAAAACAGAAGCAAACACATATTCTGTGCATAATAAAGATCTGTAGTATCGTACAGAGGTTTGATTTCAAGGAACAATACTGATTGATGAACGCAAGGTCACTAGATAAATCATGTGGCCAAACACAACGGAAGAATTATCATTGGATTGGAACTCGATCACACAATAAAACATGTTATTTACACGGCCTTATGAGTCAAGCTTCTCACTTTGACGATGATCAATGAACAAAAAAATAGAACTTTTGCTGTCTTTTTGAACAAAGAGTGCTTTATTGAAACAATTTATAAGTGGTTTTATTAAAATAAAAAGGATTAATTAGGGAGTACTGATAATTCCTCGATCATTCCACGGGTAAAATTTTCAGCCATTGATCTTTCCTGGAAAGAAAATGCTACTATTTGTACCTTCAGTACAGGATTATCTTATATGACGTCATTACATAGAAATATTTATTGTAAAGACGGAAAGAAATACACTCCACCCAGGATTTTCTTGAAAATGCCTAAAAATTATATTCCATTCAAAACGTCTGCTTGTCCGAAGGAATGAACCTAGCAAAATTATCAACAAATAGTCTCAAGGATATCTCCTTTCATTAATTCACACTCGTAATGAGCATGCAGTTTTTTCATAAAGACCCAAATAAAAAGAGAATTTCAAAACCATAGTATTTGATATTTCAAATCTTTTAAGCCTAAAAGACAAATTAAGCATGAGTTAAAAAATGATGATCAGTAAAGCGTGTATTTCCAGTGACAAATCATCTTTTGCAAAGTGATTTTGGTTATGTCTTGATTCAAAATTCCTTGTTTTACAGCTTGTACATACACCGAAAGTAAACAATGACGATGATGAGAAACAATTTGAACAAAAAAATTGTCCCTGGTTTTGCTACATTCGTTGTAACTGGTATTCATATGGTATTTAACGATTTTGCTTTGATACGTAGAAGTATGCTTTGTTAGTATCTTTTGATATAAACTTTAAATAGTTTTTGATACATTTTTGTCTCAAGCAGGTATGTGTTACTTGCTGTTGCGTTACTTTTACCCTTACCCTTAATGCAACCTCGTCTTTCAATAATCAAACGATTTTTTCAAGACATTTGCTACTTAGCGTGCATTTGAAGTTGCAAATGCAGATAAAATTTGACCTGGAACACTAGCTAATCCACACTAGAGTTAAAATGCCATCAACATTTACGTAAATTAGATTGATGCAAGTTCGTGAGGCGTCAAGCCGGCTCCTCTTGTTAGGAGACACACGCACCAATTTCTCTTGAAAGGTTACTGGAAGCGAGCGGCCCACGGAAACTTGCTATAACTTCACAGCGCATTCAAGGATAACGCTATGTTTACTACGTGCTTCTGCATGCCTACCTTTTACTCTCTCGACCGCAAGTCATTCAACCTTTATACGTTTACACACAACATTAGCAATCACGTCATAAGACGTGCAAAAACAGTAGCTTTTTCAAAAATGCATTCCAAGTACCAGCAACTGGTAATCCCGCTTAAACGCTATTAGAAATTTCAATGCTCAAAAATTTCGTAAATATGACGTCATTATGTTCAAAATTCCCTTCCTATATTCAGTTTTTCACGCTAGGAAATTTCGCAACAGAAACTTGTTAGGAAGAATATTCGTAAATGCAAACAGTGAGACTCTTCAATGTTGTTTTCAAATGCTCATTATACTTTTGTCAAGCGATTTGATTCTTCTCTAACTGGCTGGGGAAATGTATTTTCATTCTCTGTATCTAAACTTTTTTATAAAATTTCTGAGTTCTGGACTTGTTTGGACTTTTTTTTAATATTATCTGATTTCCTAGTATTTGTTTCTCATAAAAAATAATTGTATGTATTTACAAAAATCACGCTTTTGCCCTTTGCATTGTGCCTGCTTCAGCCTTGGTGCTCAATATAAGTCACGGTAAAATACAGAGGACAAGGAGAAGGGTGACAACTGTTGCATTTTCCAACCGTGTGTCAAAAAATGCTATAGAGTCGCACTTTTAAGCGTGAAAGGCAATGGCGTAGGTGGCGAAGGAGGGTGTGAGGGTGTCACACCCCACAACATTTCAAGA